TGAAATTGATTCTTAAAAACTTTGTATTTATGGCCAGGCCCATAAAATTGTACACAGTGAAATGTAACTAACTATATAAGAACAAAATAAGAAAAAGAGTGGAGGGAACAAAAGAGTGAATGGACGGTGAAGGATGCATATTCGCTTGCTTCTTTTTCTTTGTTGAAAAAGATTTAGTTGTCACTTACTCCCTTCATTCATTCTTGTCATGGACCCTACCTTTACCCAATAATCATTTGTTCCCAACTATAATATTTAATCTCACAACATTTCACAATTATTGTTTCTAGTTTTTGTATGGTTTCAAATTAAAACCCCTGATGAAATATGTATTTTGTGTAATATTTATTAATTTTCCTCAAAAGTTATGTGGACACAGCTTTGCTACTTTGTATAACATGCAGGTAGAAAGTGTATGTCTATTAGATTAGAAATTACGTATATGAAAATTTATAATTCAAAATGTAAACCACTTAAAGTAGAATATGCTTTAATCTTCTGTAGTAGTGGTCAGGTTCACAATTCAGAAGTGAAAGTCTTTTTTGTGCTTAGATGTAGTCTCAACTCTCAAGTACCTCATTAGAAGGAAACTCTAAGAGATGCTAGAAGTAGAGACAAAACCATCAATTTTTGTGGTTGATAGACCAGCTGAAAAAAATAAGACTTCTGGGGGTTATTATCTGCTGCATGCTTTAGTTTGTGATAGTACATTCACTGATATTCCAAATAAGTAGAGGCTATGACGGTCTTCTTAGCACATGCCAAGAGAACCATGAAAGAAATCATGAATCGAGCCAATTATCCCCATTGATAAGGCTGGTGTTGAGATATACTCTTTGATCCAAGAGATTTAACTTGTTGGTAGATTAAAAGCGACGAGGCAAGCAATAATGAAATTCCATTTCACAGTATTAAAACCCTTGGTAATGTCTATCTTAAATGCAAGTATCTTCAGACATTGGTTCCTATGGTCTCCATTGACTATTTCTGAACTAATAGGAGCATCCCTTTGATGAAAGCTGAATGGTTTGGAAGAATAATCATAAGAAGCATGGGATTTAGCTTAGTCACCAGAAGCTCTAATATGACCCTGTAGGTGGTATTATAACAAGATAAAAGTCTGTACTCCTTGATAAAAGCAGCTCCTAGAAACTTTAGAATCAGAGCTAGGTTGAAGTCGGCAAAAAGAATTTGATGATTGGCGATGTAAACTCTTTTCAGTAAGTTCCAAAACAAACTACAAAATAGGTTAGTCCACCAGGTCTATGGACAACACAACACACATATCCTTCTTATATTTCTTTGTACAAACTGTTTAACTTTTGTATTTGCATATCTCGTGTGAGGTAAGGAGAGAACTTGTTTGTATCTAAATGAACTTTGATCGATGGTCCTTTTTCACTTCTATTCTATCCTGTGAACTGAACTGAGAATATTTGTTAGATTCCATTTTCTGATTGATCCATGTCTTCGAGATCATTGAAATGTTTTGGGATTGTTTTTAGCTACTGTTGATCTTATGCTTGTTCGTGTTTGTTCGTATTTGGTATGATTTTGATTTTATTTATTGAGATTTGTGATTGATTATTCAATGTTATTAATGTTGTCCTACATTTTGATATACTTTTTCTTTCTCTGGTTAACAAAGATCTTGCCAATTTCGAACCATGATTTAAGATGCATTTTACTATCTAAAGATTGTGAAGGAAACCTATCAAGATAAATGCGAAGACCTTTCTTGAGGTCATGAGAGACTTCAAAGCTCATAGGTATTTTTTTGTTTGTTTAATGATTGGTTTTACTCCTACATTAGTTTCAAAACTTAGTTATGTAGAATTGAAGAGTCTGATGTTATTTATATGTTAGAGTTGACACCAGTGACCAGTGGTGTCATATTAAAAGTGAAGAAACTCTTTGAGGAGGAAGAATAGCTGCTTTTGGGACTCAATACATTTTTGCCTAAAGGTAACACGATAACCCTATAATGTGACCAAACTCTACCAGATGGAGTTGACTACGAAGATGCAATTAGTTTTATGAACAAGGTCAAGGTAGGTGCACTAAACCTGGCTAAGAAATAGTTTGATATTGTTCTTTTGAACAATTATTTATTTATTTTATTAATATATCAGTGTTATGAAAACTGAAACCAATTATACTCATCGTAATTAATTTGTTTGATGTAAGTTGTCCTGTTTTTATTGTAGGTGTACTCTTTTGTGTTGTTCAATTAAAAAAAGGTGTACCCTTTTGTTTAAATGATATATATACAGGGAGGGACAACAATATTTGTAATTACAAAGTTTTAAATTAGAAAATATAGGTTGAATCTTCTAAAGTTAGAAAATAAATGCTGTCAAAAAAAAAAAAGTTAGAAAATAAATATATTGTATAGATTACAATGTATCTTCTAATGTTTAGTTAAGGTTTAAAACTTTATATTTAGATTTTTCATCTCTATCCCTATTAGAAAGAATACTCGTAATTTCTTCCTTTACTATTTTCTCTTAAATATCATTGATCTGTTGACAAGGTTTCAGGGAATTAATCTACATGCATTCAACTCTTTCTTAGAAATTCTGAAAATGTATACAAAGGGAAAGAAGAGCACCGCTGAAATCGACCATGAGGTACGTGTATTGCCACATTTTTGTATGAATGTTTATTTTTCATTGTCTTATGTCGGATTTGATAATATGTTTACTTTTCTGTGCAGCAGTGCAGGTGGCTGTTCTTTTACGTGACCATGAGGATTTGCTCGCAGAATTTATCTCTCGGTATAGACGAAGATAATATTATAGGAAGGATGCTTAACGTATGCAAAGAATCGTCATTTATTGGTTAACTTTAAGAAATTTTATTTTAAAATTCAAATGATAAAATTAAGAATACTTTCTGTATTTTTAATACTTTGCACTGCTAGCCCGTTCACTCATAAGCTTTTCTCATGAGCATTGTCAAAAATTGGCAGAATGCTTTCGAACCAAAGGACGCAAAACCGAGGCTACTTAGAAGAATTTAACTTAATAAACTACGTGGGCAAAGTTCAACACACACAAGGATTAAGGCCCAGACCACTACACTATTAATTAGGAATCACGGTGCTGCAAACTAGTTATTTTATGAACCAAAAAAACTAACTAATTATTTTAATTATATTTTTGTTGACTATATTGTGTCCTAATCTTGATCAATAATTATAAACGACTAAGGGCATCTCCAACCCAAACCTATTTTCTCCTCTATAATTCCCACAAAAAATAGAGTAACTCTATTTTAGAGTGATTTTTGCTCTAATGGTTCACTCTAAAATAGAGTTAATCTATTTTTTGTGGAAATTATAGAGGAGAAAATAGGTTTAGGTTGGAGATGATCTAACTATATACATAAAAGGCTTTTAAAGTTATTTTTTAGCAAAACATAGATTAGTAATTTCTAAAAATAAATATTGAACTTTTTGCAATGAATAATTTAACACCTATAACATTATGAAAGAATAAAAATGACATACAAAGAATTTTTTTATTTTTGATTTTTTTCTTTTAAAATTAACTTTGCAAACTCGTAAGCTATAAAAATAAGGAAAATTTCAATCCTACCACAAGTTTGGTACCACTTTTCAAATTTTATTTTAATGAATTACTATTTTCAAAAATACCATAAATTTATGATAAAATAACAGTAAGCTATTTTTTGAAATATTTATAGAACATTTATAAACTCAACCCCAACTCCTTAATACTAAACCATAAACAATAATCACTAAAGTCTAAATTTAAATGTTAGTATATTTTTTGATTGGTGATATTTATAAAAAGTCGTACTTAACTTGTGGTATTTCTAAAAACTTCTCATAAAAATATGCTAGTAAATATACTGGAATATTTTCCCTCAATAAGGTGTGGAATAGCCATCTCAATAAAATCAGGTGTGGAATAACTTATTTTATATTATTCAATATTAGTTTTCCTTTTTCTTTATTTTTTCTTTTGAATGTTTAAAAAGTCAAAAAAAATATTAATTTATCAGTATTTTTTAATTTATCAGTAAATTAGTAAGTTCTTACAATTTTTCATAATTATACGATCTAAGTTATTAATTAAGGTTTTGTTTCTTGGCTGTTCCCTTAATATATGAGATAACTAGAGATATTTGAAAGACACTTCAAGAAATAACCATTTGATCGTGACTTTTGCGTCCGACTGAGACAGTACGTAAAGTTAGTTTGTAAAGTTAGTTTATATATGAGGATTGTAACATTAATAGAGAAAGAGAGGTTTACAATCGTTAACTAATAAGGAAGAGAATTATAATATTCACCTATATAGAATCAAGATATTCACCTATACAGAATCAAGATTTGGAAGAGATCAATTTAATTTTCAAACCTTTTATAAATATAATTGTTGGCTTTATATGTTATTATATATTTTCAAATATTTTCTATGAATGAATTGTTTTAGTCAAGTAAAAGGAAGGAAATATAATATATATTTTTATTTGTTACCTTAAAAAATGATTTCTTTTGTCTATTCCACATTTGTATATAATGTAATAAAATTTTAAACCAAAAGTATTCTTGTCTACTTTGTGGGATTTGTTCAAAACCTGTAGGCGTGCTGTGTGCAAGGTAAGGAGAAACATTTCCCTCTGGATGATGACTTAGTTCTCGCTTAAGATTTGATTGTACGATGCACGTGGTTCTATAGTTTTCATTTCGCTCGTTCTGTGGTAATTATTCCAACGTTTTATGTTTATATTGTAAAATAATATCTGGACTAGGCTAGGTTCAAATTCTCTAGTTTGTAGTCTTAATATTACTTGCAATATTTCCTGTGATTGTTCACCGGTTACTAACTTGACTGCGTGGTTTTTCTGTTTGTATTTTGGATGATTTCGAGTTGGATTACTTGAATATATATATATTTCAAATTAGTTTTACTGTGGTTTGAGATTTGTTTACATTGATATATTTTCTTTTCTCTAGCAAATTTCAAATCATGATCATAAAGAGGCAATCTACAAGGGATGTACATGAGTATCTCCATACTGTGATGAATAGGTTTCATGATAATCGTGAAACATATGATACAGTTGCTAAGCTCTTGAAGGACGTGAGATCTGCAAGGTATTTTCTATATCTTAACCATTGATTTCCCTTTTTAATTTTTTCAATTTCTGTCCACATATATATAGTAGCCTTGTGACTTACGAGAAGTTGAAGAATTAAACTGTGTTTTAATTGCAGAGTTCGTTATACATACTGTGATGTCATATCAAAGGTGACTGAACTCTTTAAGGGACACAGAGACCTGATTTTGGGTTTCAATAAGTTCTTGCCGACCGGTCATAAGATAACCCTTCCGAAGGATCAAACTCAGCGAAGGAAGCCTGAGTTTCGGGATGCTATTGAGTTTCTCAACAAGGTCAAGGTATGCACACTCGCCCATGGTAGAAAATATGGATATACAATTCGACTAACGATTTGACTTTCAGTTTATTTTGTGCTATAAATCTTGAAATTTAAAAAGAAATATAGCACATGTTGTATTCTTGCCCTAGTAATTAATTATATTGCTCTTTTCCATATTACCATCTTCCGTTAAATATTGTTTATTTGTAGGCAAGGTTACAAGACGAGCGTGCATTCAAGTCCTTCTTAGAGATATTGCGAACGTTCCAAGAAAAGAAGAAGAGTATCACTGAGGTTTGTCATGAGGTATGTATATGTGTGTGTGTGTATGAGGGTAACGGTAACTAATATAAAATAAAATTAAAATTATAAATGAAAAATGAAAAAACTAACTTTAAGTTTAATTAATATGTGAATAATATAATATTAAAATTTGTTTCTTTGTAATGTTCTTGTATTCTGTTTGATGATGACCTTTTTTTAATTTGTTAAAGTATGATTACCTGTTTTTGCAGGTCTCTTTTGTCCTCCGATGCCACCCCGACTTGTGTGCGGATTTTACTGTTTTTCTCCCTGCTCGTTATAATACTATAGAGGCGATTGAGAGGGCTGCTGAAACAAAGCTGGGATAATAAGCTGTAATCACTAGTTTGTTGTTGATCTGCCAAAACTTAAAACTCATTTCAACTATTTTTAATTGTTTAAGTTGCATATTATATGGACAATCTCGATGAACTTTTTTTTTTGTAACACAATAATCTGGTTGAACTTATAAAACAAAATTTAATCCTTATCTTGTGTTCCAGTATAATTAGAGATAATCAATCATTTTCTTATAAATTCAAAAGCTATTGACCAAAATTTTAATTGTTTATATGTTTTAGATATTGCCAAGATTATAAGTATCAACCAAAACATTCATCTACGAAGATTTTTGTGCTACTTATTTTTCTAGTATGTATTTCATTTGGACAATTCTTTTATCTGGCAGAGTTTTCATATGATCATGTATTCATGTATCTAATTTACAAGTGCTACTATTTCTACCTTAACTCTTAATTATACGTGTAGTAACTTTTTGTATATATATATTCTTCTTCTTTGCTTCCTTCATCCGTATAATGTTGTTTTACGACTTTGCCTTGGTTTGTGTTAGAGGGTATACATTGGTGTCTTTTTATGGTTCACTTAATATGGTCATATTGTTGTTGATATGCAATACAAAATTCATGAACTTGAACTAATAATTTCTGAGTCAATCAGTCAAATGAACATAAAAGGAAATACAAATTAACAAAATCACCATAACCTAGTAAAGAGCCGTCATTAGGTGAACTTCCTAAATACCTAGTCTTTCTTTCCGAAGTTGTCCCCTCATGCACTGAATTTTACTCCCTCCATATATAGGTCTTTTAATTCTATAACATTTAGATTTTAATGATTTTAATATATTTTATAAATATAGTGTACTGAAAGCACCAGGACAGCTGTGAAAAAAGGAGGTAACATGTCTGATATGCAAACCACACTGCATGCATCCACCTTTTCCCTCAGATGATGTAGAGATATCAATGTGATGGTTTGTTTAACAACACGGTGCCCTCAAACTAATGTTTCAGCTATCCAAGCAAGAGTTGTTGAGAGTATACTGGATACGCTTACTGACTATCAACGTGAGGACGATGTTATATCCTCAATATAGGCACACATAACTGACTATCAATCTTATTATATACTCTGAAAAAACATGTTTTTAATTCATTTTCTTACACGCTTGCAAAATTAATACATATTACCCAAGAGTTTCATATTCAGTAGAAATCAAGAACTTACAAGACCATCTAGGTTTTATTCTCTTAGCGACCATGAGAGAGGAAAGATTCAGTGAAGGTCAAGGATGCGCCAGAACAGGACTCAGGAGAAAGAGCTAATTCACCTCCATGAACTTCTCGAGCATTTACAATGTCAAGTAAGTCATGAGGAAGCTGAACCACATTGTCCAAGTATTGAATGACGCTGGACATGTTTGGTCTGAAGGCTGCTACTGGATGCGAACAGAGTAAGCCAAGTTTAAGAACAAGTTCCACTTGCTCCTCAGGATAGTCCTGCCCAATCTTCTGATCAAGAACTTGCATTATATCTCCATTCTCCCAACACTCTAGCACCCAGTCAGTAAGTACCACCTCGCTATGTGATGCTCGTGACAATATAGGTTTTCTTCCACAAGCAATCTCTAGCATGACCACTCCTAGAGCAAATACGTCAGAGCTTGTACTTGCATTTCCAGTTCTTGCGAGCTCAGGTGAGATATACCCAAACGTACCTTCCAAGTAACAGCATTGTTAGTAGAAATATCAATGTTTAAAAGTCGTTATACCATAACTAGCAAAGACTAACAAATAGACGGATTATTCAGAAACTAGGGGGAGTATAGTCATTAACGAATTACTGATTTACTTTTAATACTTTTTATATTTATATTAGATATTTTTATTTATTTTTAAACTTAATCATAAAATTCCTTTGATGGATTATAAAAAGTACACAAATTTGTAATACATTTATTTCGATTAAACCGATTTAAACCATTTTAACCGATCTCGAATGGTTTAAACCGAATTGAATCGTATAAATCAGAGTTTTTTAAAAAACATTTGTCATCTAGGTGATTGTAAACGAAATTTTATAACATTAGAAATATATATATATATATATATATATATGTATATATATAGGTTCAGTATTCAACAACAATAAGCAAAATAAAACAAGGTACCTGCCACATGAGAGGTCTGAGGATCCATCCCATGGTCACATAGCTTTGCAAGGCCAAAGTCACCAAGTTTTGCATTCATATCTCCATCAAGCAAGATGTTGGCTGGTTTAATGTCCCTATGGATAATCACCTGCACCCATTGTTGGTGCAAATAGCAGAGNTCAGTATTCAACAACAATAAGCAAAATAAAACAAGGTACCTGCCACATGAGAGGTCTGAGGATCCATCCCATGGTCACATAGCTTTGCAAGGCCAAAGTCACCAAGTTTTGCATTCATATCTCCATCAAGCAAGATGTTGGCTGGTTTAATGTCCCTATGGATAATCACCTGCACCCATTGTTGGTGCAAATAGCAGAGTCCAGAAGCTACATCTTTGATGATCTTGAATCTTTGAGACCAATCAAGAGTTCCAGCTTCTTGGTGATAGAGGAACTTATCAAGGCTGCCATTTGTCATACAATCATAGACTAGGAAGAGGGCACCACTTATTCTGCAGTAGCCCTGGAGCCGAACTAACTTAGGATGTCTGAGCCGGCCAATGGTGGCTATCTCAGCTATGAACTCTCTCATCCCCTGTCTTGAATCGTGAGAAATACCCTTGACCGCAATCTCTATGTTGGAAACTGGTAATGTACCCTTGTAGACTTTCCCAAAACCTCCTTTACCAAGAAGCTCACTATCCTTGAAACCCTTTGTGGCAGTGTGTAGATCTTTGTAATCAAACTTATAAGGACCATACTGCACCTCCCATTCCTCATGTACTTCGTATAGCTTCTTCCTCTTAAAGATATCCCATAAGCAGATACTTGCCATGATGGGTATGCAGACGGCAGATAACTTCAAAAGTTCAAATATCAAACCCTTTGGAGGTTGGTACCATTTATGATCGAGAAAAGGTTTTGGAAGGCGAGAGTGGTCTATATCTTGAGCCGTACCATTAATCTTGAACGTCCAACCCAATATAAAGTGATCTGCAGTTAATCCTGTGGACGAGGTGAACCCAACATACATATATTCAAGAAAATAGGGAGAAAGATCTCTCTGTAGAGAAAGAAGGGGAACCATTGGTTTAAGGACACGAACTGGATGAAGTGTAACATTAAGCCGTTTCTGTTTACTATCATATTCCACCCATAACTGCATAGAATCTCCACTGGTAAGAGAGAGTTTCCTGAAAGTACCATCATCTTTGAAATAACCTGCTGAAGCAGATTTATCTGACTTCAAGCTATTTATGTCTACACCAACATGATTATCATCTATGTCTTGGAACTCAGGGCTTTGTGCTGTATCGAGCTCAACAGCTACAATATGACTTTTGGGAGCTCCGTTGGTTCTTGTGTTGAAAATTCCTAGATATTCGTCGGCATCAGCGTTGGAAAAATCTCTAGTAGGAGAAAGGACAAAGGCCAGTCCATGGCCTTTGTTAACTCTATTCTTTCCGCGTATAGCGAAAACGAATGTGGTGGAAAAAGAGTAGAAAATACCATTTGGAGAGCCCTTGAATCGAAATGATGAATTGTAGAAGACTTGACCAGTTGTTTCTGTCCTAGAACTTGAAAGCCTGGACAGGCCATCGTCCATATCGGTTAGTCCTGCAGCATATAGTATTCCACTGAAGTTGAACTCTCCACCTTGGCCTACTATGTTCTTGGGGAAGAACAACATCAGCAAAAACAAGAAAAGCATCGTAGTTAGTTGAAACATGATTGATGGATATTGAATCTTTGATCATACAAACAAATGTTTATGAAAGAGGAGACTTTAAATGGAGTCAACACAGAGAATTGATCAATAATGGGAGTACTGCTTTTTAAATGCCACTCATTCTGTTTCATACCAAGTGTGTTCGCTCAAATAATTTTTTTTTTTTTAATTTTAATTCTCAAATAATACATTATTTTGATTTTTTTATTAAATAATAAGTTAAAAATAAAGGTAGAATTGAAAACTTTAAATATGCATTGAAAGAATAAAATTAACGCTTATAATGGAAAAAAAGAGAGTCTAAAACATCATTCAGTATAACAAAAGTAGTATTAGAAGCCATCAACAATGCTATTGCTTACGCCTCCGTAGATGTGTTAGTAGGAAGTATTGATGATCTCCCTTGCAGAATTTGTGTCCTCTTTGCTACGAAGAGACCACGTAATTCCTGTTTTGTCCATTAAATTTTTTAAAAATATCAAATAACTTTTTATAGTAATAGTTAATTTTGTTGTAGCATAAATAATTTATAATATATCCTACTTCATTTTAATTTAATTGTCGTTGTATAATAAGTATTCGTTTGAAATAAATGTCATTTAAAATTTTAATTCAAAATTTACTATATATATATGATATTCTATTTCTTAATTAGTTGAAATGTGTTCAAGTATATAAGTAATGTAATTTTTATCTATATAAAACTAAATGGTTTTTTAATCTATTTGCATAAACCTAAAACGATAATTAAGATAAAATGGAAGTAAATATTGTTTTTATTTGGCCACTGTAAATTACCATAAATATTGAAAATCATGGTAGTTCTTACGTAGTATTTTCTTATTCTTTCTAACTCTTTGATATCACATAAACATCAAATCTTCTTGAAACATTTTAGTTAAGATTTTTGGTTTAGACAAATATTTGGAAGCATTGTGTGATATGTTTGAAAAATATTGATTTTTTTTAGAGAAAATACAAAACACAAATTGTAAATATAAACAATAAACAATAAAATGAAAAGGGGAAGATAAATAATAAAGTATAAAAAATAGAATAATAGAAGAATAGAAAAATATGGAGGACACATTAAGATATTTTAAAATGTGTGTTTATGAAAAGTTATACCTTATTATGTAAGTTTTTTGTCTACTCCAGCAAGAGTCAAAGTCATACTTGCTTAATTTTCTACTGAATCATTCTTTCGATAGAGAAAACAGTTACGCAACTGCCCAACACAGAGATTAGAGATGTGTACCATCTGAGAAATTTCCAGGTTTGTTTTTCCTTTCCTGATTAATAATTCTTATTAGTCCATAATATTTGTACAGACACAGAGACACTTACCAAAGCTCTGCCTAGAGAAGATAGTTTTGAGTTGTTTACTCTATCTCCTTAGCAGTATCTCCTTTGAATTTAATTAGCCCTTTAATTATCATTCAACCAGCACTAATATCGTTCAGGAGTAGATTATCTAGTTAAAATCTTTTTTAATACTCGTCAAGAGTCAAAGTCATACTTCTTATAAACAAAGCAAAGTCATACTTCGTGGCCTTTTTTTGTCCTTTGAATCCTTTCATTATTAAAGTAACAGTACACTAAAGTACTAGAACGCAACTCCACAAAGTATAAATGGGGACAATCTTTTTAATTCTTTCCCATAAGCTTTATGTAAGCGAAGAAAAATGTAACACGTTTACAAAAGACGAAGTCTGCTAACCAATGCGATAAAGACCGAGTGGCTCGGTTTCCAGACAAGGTGGGTTGGCTGGGGAAAAATCTCTTCAATAAAAAGAAAAACACTATTTAGAATAAACTTTTTGTTCCCCATGATATTTACTATAAATGCCACTAATTTTTTCTCTTTTTTAGGGTCTTCATCAAAGGTATAATAGTAATATGCTTTTGGTCCAATTAGTTGAAATAATGTCATACATCTACGTTAGGAAATAAATCATTGTTAATACAGTAACCACATCAAATCATAGTGTACCATGGAATGCTAAACAGGTTGAAACTAGTTGGACACAGTTTTACATAGGTGATTATTGGTTGTGATGTAACCATAGAATTTAGTTCGTAAGAATATTTTGATTTAGTTGTATCTACCATAGATTTAATTTAAATTAATAAAGTAAAAAAAAAAATATATTGTTACATCACTGGGCGATGTAAGAAAAGTATTATACAATCTTCTGTCAGTGTATGTGGATAGATTCTATAAAATATTAACGTGAGGACGATGTTATATGCTCAATATAGGCCAACATAACTAAAGATCAATCTTTTTATTTACACTGGACAACATGTTTTGATTCATTTTGTTTCTGATAAACTTATTACATATCAGCCAATACCTTCATTTTCAGTAGCAATGAAGAGCCTACAAAACCATCTAGGTTTTAGTCTTTAATTAGCGTCCATGAGAGACAAAGGATTCAGTAAAGGTCAAGGGTGCCACGGAACAAGACTCAGGAGAAACAACTGCTTCAGTACCTCCATGAACTTCTCGAGCTTTTGCAATGTCAAGTAAGTCATGAGGAAGCTGAACCACACTGTCCAAGTATTGAAAGACGCAGTTAGCGTTCTAGACAAAGGTTTGAATTTTTGGAAGGCGAGAAAGGTCTATATATATCTTGAGCTGTACCATTCATCTTGAACGTCCAAGCCAATATATAGTGAGATGCAGTTAGCGTTCCTGTGGATGAGGTGAAGCCAATATACATAGATTCATGCAGTCACCTTCAAAAATAATCTTCTTATAATCTCTACTCTAACAGTGTTGCACTGCCATCAATAGAGCTTGTAGTTCACTCTTCAGAGCTGTTTACTCTTCTTCCAATACTCTGACCCGCACCTAAGTAAACTCCATTCCAGTCACGAACAACTAACTCATCCTCCCTTACTTGGTACTCTCCAATCCACAAAAGAACTATCTACATTACACTTAACCCATATATAAATTTGGTGGTGTTTGGCATCTTTATTTTTTACCGACACTGATACTTTGACTAGCATGCATGTTGTCGTCCTTACCTATTGTTCTCGCCATTCTTTTGAGTCACTTTTAGTCTGTTTAATCACAATGTTTCACGGGACCACGGGATTTGTCTCCGCTGAAATATTAGAACATTGCGACTCTTCCATATTCGCCATAAAATCCAAATAGGAAAATCTTAAAAAGTGTGAAAGCGATGCCATAGTAGAGCATTCAATACACGCCTATAGCTTCTCTTCAAATGATGTACTTGGATTATTGATCAATGTATTCGAAACCCCTGATCCTCTCCAAGTTTCTTGAGCATAAAGACATGTAAAGAACAAATGATCATCTGACTTAGTTGTAGTACAACATCTCTTGCGTTGAATATCATCAGCGAAAGATATTTGTTAGCGTCCACCAGATTCCAGAAAAGTAAATTGGTTTAAATGAAAGGGCAATTTTTTCAAATAATCATTTTTAAGTTTATGTCATAAAAATAGTCCTATAAAAATAAAATAACATAAATTATTTTGTTTTTGAAATTTGTAATAGTTTTTTTTAAAGTTAAAAACCATATCCTCAATCAAAATCCCACCCCGTAACTCTAAACCATAAATTTAAATTAGTTAACCATGGGATATAAATACATATTTATCCTTTAAAAAAAACTTTCTTTTTTTTTCCTTTCTTTTTTCTAATCCGAATTTTAAATAGGATTATGACAAATCTCGTGCGTGTATATATATATATATAGGGAACATTCATACTATGTATTTATCATAAAGTTCAAATCTTCTCTCTGTCTCTATTCAATCTTGCATAATGGCGGTACCCAAACGAAGAAAAGAAAAAGTAGACGGCTTAATAGTTGTCATTGGTATATGTTATGTTGCCTTTTTCATTACTATGATTTCTATTAGTATTATTTGGGCTCATAAACCAGTTGCTCCAACTCCCGTGCCGAAAATAGAAGTAGCTTCAATGGATTTCACGATACAAAATATTACACAAACTCATCTCAGTGCCACTTGGGATTTATTGACAAGGATCCCCAGGATGCTTCCTGATAACTATATATGTCTTCAAGGAGACCTTCAAGCTTCCTTGTTTTACAAGAATATTACCATTGCTATCTCCTCTAGACAAAGGTTTGAATTTTTTTTTTATATAGTTTATTTATTTTTATTGAAGAAAAAAATAAGTGATGATTGTATTGTTGTTGCATAATGACATAATCAGGTACGACAATCTTCAGCCCTACTCGCCACAACAACTTAGGGTTTCAGCTTCTATCTCTGAAGAAGATATCGGTGGTTTGATTGGAAAAAACATTATTAAAGATATAAAAGACAAGAAGGAAGTGAAGTTCGGATCACAGTTGTTCCTTACGGATTGTAGAGAAAAGTCGAAAGGAGTTATGAGGTATGTGTGTGATGAAACCACCTTAAGGTTCGAGCCTGGTTCTGAGACAAAGGCGACTTCGTTCGGGGACAACCCTACCTGCATCAATTTTTAACTAGTTTTCTTTGTTTTTTTTATAAAGTTTGCTAGGTTTTTTTTTTATTTTGTTTTTTACCGAACACTTAGGAGAAACGAGATTTCACCAAAGTTTTGTTTTATCTTAATAAACAACCTTAATCCATTCATTCATTCATTCTACAATCTCTATACTTTGACAAGAAAGATCATTAGTTAGCGTCCACCAGAAATACAAGATTCTCATGTTCGAGGATCATTAGTTAACATGTAAATTTGGCCACTAAAAATCCATTCCATGTATTATCTGTTTTATTGCTATTTCTAATCATTATTTTATTGTTAATATTTATCCAAAATAATCATTAAAGTATTCAAGCAACAAAGAACCTGAAAAATTCTCATATTGTCCACATCTTTATGTTGAGAATTGTTCCTATATTGGAAAGAATGATTCAATAGAAAATTTCTCAGATTGTCCACATCCTTATCAGTGCTGCTTCAATGATAATTAATAGTACTTAATTAAAAGGGTTTGATCATTTGACTTATAGCACTCTTGAACTCTTCTTATTGATCAAATCTCTGTGTTGACTCCACTTGAAGTCTCTTTTTTCTTGGCATGAACATTTGCTTGTATGATCATTGTTCAAAGATTCAAAATCAATCAATCATGATGAAGTTGTTGATTTTGCTGATCTTTTTCTTCCCCAAGAACGTGGTATGCCAAGGTCCAGACCCAAGTGTTGGAGAGTTCAACTTCAACGGATTACTATATGCTGCAGGATCAGCCAATCTAAACAACAACGGCCTATTCAGACTAACAAATTCTAAGACACTAACATCTGGTCAAGTTTTCTACAATTTGCCATTGAGATTCAAGGGCTCTCCAAATGGTAACGTCTTCTCCTTCTCCACCACATTCGTTTTCGCTATAGTCTCAAAGGACAGATCAGTTATCAAAGGCCATGGACTGGCCTTTGTCCTTTCTCCTACAAAAAGTTTGGTAAACGTTTCTGCCACCCAATTTCTTGGACTCTTCAACAAAAGCAATATTGGAAACCCTGAAAATCATATTGTAGCTGTTGAACTAGATACAGTCCAAGGTCCTGAGGTCAATGACATGGATGATAATCATGTTGGTATTGACATAAACAGTGTAGTTTCAGAAATAGCTGCTTCAGCAGGTTATTACAAAGATGATGGTGCTTTCAGGAACTTATCTCTTGCTAGTGGAGATTCTATGCAGTTGTGGGTTGAGTATGAGAGTAAACAGAAACGTCTTAATGTCACGCTTCATCCTATTAGTGTCCTTAAACCAAAGATTCCACTCATTTCTTTACAGAGAGATCTTTCTCCATATTTTCTTGAATCTATGTATGTTGGCTTCACCTCATCCACAGGAACGTTTACTGCATCTCACTATATATTGGCTTGGAATTTCAAGATTAATGGGACGGCTCAAGATATAGACGCTACTCTCCTTCCAGAAGTTCCCCGTTTTAAAAAGCCATGGATCCAAACTCCAAAGGGTGTTTTGACGGTTAGTTTGACTACATCAGGCGTCACATTACTCATAGTCTTGACTCTCGGCTTGTGGCTTTTCTTGAAGAGGGAGAAGATATTAGAAGTTCTTGAAGACTGGGAGGTGCAGTATGGTCCTTATAAGTTTGCTTACAAAGATCTACACACTGCCACAAAGGGTTTCAAGGATAGTGAGCTTCTTGGTAAAGGAGGTTTTGGGAAAGTCTACAAGGGTACATTACCAGTTTCCAACATAGAGATTGCGGTCAAGAGTATTTCTCACGATTCAAGACAGGGGATGAGAGAGTTCATAGCTGAGTTAGCCACCATTGGCCGGCTCAGACATCCTAAGTTAGTTCGGCTCCAGGGCTACTGCAGATTAAGAGGTGCACTTTACCTAGTGTATGATTGTATGCCAAAAGGCAGCCTTGATAAGTTCCTCTACGACCAACAAGCTGGAACTCTTGATTGGTCTCAAAGATTCAAGATCATCAAAGATGTAGCTTTTGGACTCTGCTATTTGCACCAACAATGGGTGCAGGTGATTATCCATAGGGACATTAAACCAGCCAACATCTTGCTTGATGGAGATATGAATGCAAAACTTGGTGACTTTGGCCTTGCAAAGCTATGTGACCATGGGATGGATCCTCAGACCTCTCATGTGGCAGGTACCTTGTTTTATTTTGCTTATTGTTGTTGAATACTGANCTCTGCTATTTGCACCAACAATGGGTGCAGGTGATTATCCATAGGGACATTAAACCAGCCAACATCTTGCTTGATGGAGATATGAATGCAAAACTTGGTGACTTTGGCCTTGCAAAGCTATGTGACCATGGGATGGATCCTCAGACCTCTCATGTGGCAGGTACCTTGTTTTATTTTGCTTATTGTTGTTGAATACTGATCCTATTAGATGTTGTGCCCGCCTTGCGGGCATAATCTTTTTACGGATATAACTTAACATAATAAACTATTATTTATGTTTTCTCAAAAAAAAAAATATTATTTATGTTCTCAAAAGTTTAAATAAAATTATTTATATATGCTATTTTTTTAATCAAAATATATATTATGCCCACATATTTTGGGTTGAAATTTGAACTAAAAACCCACATATTAGAAATAATTGAGAAAATATCATTATACAAATGTAATTGATTAATTAATATTTAATTTTAAATTTTATTACATTTATATTTATTTTTGTAATAAAATAATATTTTTTCAGATAACGACACAATATCTATAAAACTTATCTTATTTTTGTAATATGTATTTATTTTGAAAATTATCATATTAATTTATAATCAAATTTTTAATTTTTGTAATAGAAAAATATTATTTTAAGATAACAACACCATATCTATAAGAATTATCTTTTTTTTTGTAATGTGTATTTATTTTGACAATTATGATATTGATTTATAATCAATATTCTAATATAACATATAAATCTAATATTCTTATTATAAATTCGTTTTTAATTATATATAAAATTCATTAAGGGTATAAACGATATTAACCACTATAATTTTTTACGTGGGAGCTCCATTGCGAAAAATCACTTCGCAAATAATAGTATAGATATATATACATATATAATGTTATAAAAATTGGTTTACACTCAATTAGTGACAAATGTTTTTTAAAAAAAATCCGATTTAGACGACTCAATTCGGTTTAAACCATCCGAGACCGGTTAAAATGGGTTAAATCGATTTAATCGAAATTAATGTATTACAAATTTGTGTAATTTTTATAATCCATCAAAGTAATTTTATGATTAAGTTTAAAAAAAATATCTAATATAAATATAAAAAGTATTAAAAGTAAATCAGTAATTCGTTAATGACTATACTCCGCCTAGGTTCTGAATAATCCGTCTAGATGTTATCTTTGCTAGTTATGTTATAACGACTTTTAAGCATTGATATTTCTACTCACAATGTTGTTTCTTGGAAGGCACGTTTGGGTATATCTCACCTGAGCTCGCAAGAACTGGAAATGCAAGTACAAGCTCTGACGTGTTTGCTCTAGGAGTGGTCATGCTAGAGATTACTTGCGGAAGAAGACCCATATTGTCACGAGCATCACATAGCGAGGTGGTGCTTACTGACTGGGTTCTAGAGTGTTGGGAGAATGGAGATATAATGCAAGTTCTTGATCAGAAGATTGGGCAGGACTATCCTGAGGAGCAAGTGGAACTTGTTCTTAAACTTGGCTTACTCTGTTCACATCCAGTAGCAGCCTTAAGACCAAACATGTCCAGCGTCATTCAATACTTGGACAGTGTGGCTGAGCTTCCTCATAACTTACTCGAAATTGTTAAAGCTCGAGAAGTTCATGGAGATACTGAAGCAGCTGTTTCTCATGAATCTTGTTCCGTGGCACCCTTGTCATTCACTGAATCATTTGTCTTTCATGGACGCTAAAAGGATTAAAACCTAGATGGTCTTGTAGGTTCTTGATTTCTACTGAAAATGAAAGTCTTGACTGATATGTGTAATAAGTTTTTGTGAGCGTGTAAGTCCTATTTAGCTTGCTCAAATCTAGTTGTGTGGGTTGATGTTAGAGACTATTAGAAATGAGGGTAAATGAAGGGTGGATAAAACTCCTGCCATGTGGTCAGGCTTATGTCTCATCAAAACTGTATAAAGTGAACAGAGAGGTCGACACATAGCATATACCATTACCATATAATGAAGTTGAAAAAAGGACAAGACATGTTTCTTTTTCATATCTTCTTAGAAATCAATTTGGAGCCATGTACATACACTAATGTCCAATTCTCCAATCAACCTTTGTTGGATAATGAAAAGGGCTTACTCAAACTGGTTAAACTCTCCAAATTGTTTTATTTAAACCGGTCATATGTACCAACATCTTAAGTTATCCTATCCATACAATGATTGTAGTTACATATCACAGCATACTATTTTTTTTTTGGGTAGTTGTAGTTATTTATATGGATAAGGACCATCATCATTGTAGTCATTTAATTTCTTAGGTGATCTCTCCCATCATCATGTAGTAATAATGTTTATTTTTTTTTTTTTTTGTAACACAGTAATAATGTTTATTAGAAAAGTGAAATGGAATAATGCAAGAAAAAAAAGAGTTCAAAGTATCTCATCTCCAAATGGAATATTCTTCATCCAACACTGAACAAAACAACCAATAATTAACATTAATAAAGTTATTCAGATTACAAAATGAAACAATTAAACATTCCTTGCTTACTCAAACTGGTTAAACTCTCCAAATTGTTTTATTTAAACCGGTCATATGTACCAACATCTTAAGTTATCCTATCCATACAATGGTTGTAGTTACATATCACAGCATACTATTTTTTTTTGGGTAGTTGTAGTTATTTATATGGATAAGGACCATCATCATTGTAGTCATTTAATTTCTTAGGTGATCTCTCCCATCATCATGTAGTAATAATGTTTATTTTATTTTTTTGTAACACAGTAATAATGTTTATTAGAAAAGTGAAATGGAATAATGCAAGAAAAAAAAGAGTTCTAAGTATCTCATCTCCAAATGGAATATTCTTCATCCAACACTGAACAAAACAACCAATAATTAACATTAATAAAGTTATTCAGATTACAAAATGAAGCAATTAAACATAAATACCAAACTAAACCGGACCTGACCCAAAATAAAACCGGTTTTTAAGATTCAAACGAGTCAAAATCGTAAAATGGTGACGTGGAAGAAGGAAGCAACAAAGCAAAGAATGTTCAAAACAGTTTCTAAAAAAGAAGTCTCTTTCTTCAACATCCCAAAAGTCCAACCAAAAACAGAGACAAAGAGAGAGAGAGAGAGAAAAAACAGAGAGACTTCATCACAATAATGGATCATCATCTCCAACCTTGACAACCACCAAAACCCCTCTCTCTTTCCTCCCCAGAAACCTCTCAAAACTGATCAAATGACTCAAAAACCCTTCATCTCCCTCTCATCTCTCCTCCTCCTCTGTTTTTGCGTTGACTTGGGTCAACCCTTCAAAGTCCCTTTCAGCGTCAACGATGTTCTCCCCTTGCTTCCTCGCCAAGTCTCCTGGCCCGTCCTCAACAGCTTCCACAGCGCCGTGGATCTCTTACCCGTCTTCATCGGATCCATTACTCCGAACAACAACGCGTCTCTTGAGTGGAAAGGCGCTTGCTTTCACGGCAACGAGGCTCGTCTCGATATCACTCGTAGCGATCGCAACGTGTCTGGACTCGGAGGCGGCCTTCTTCATCTCAAAGTCGGTTCCTTTTTTTATCCCTCCTCTGTTTTGAATTCATCAAGTTTCCTCTGTTTTTAATTCATCAAAGTTTGTAACTTTATGGTTGAAACTAAACTGTTTACATTTTAGGTACATAGCTCTATGTTTAAAGTTTGTAACTTTATGGTTTAAACTAAGCTGTTTGGTACAATTTGGAGACTTTTTGTAGACATCTTAGACACATAGCTTGACTTGTATGAACCTATATGAGTTGTTTGATCATCAAAGTTTGTAGCTTTATGTTTAAAGTTTGAACTTTATGGTTTGAACTAAGCTGTTTGGTTCATTTTGGAGACTTTTTGTAGACATCTTAGGCACATAGCTTTGACTTGTGTGAACCTATATGTAGCTTTATGTGTAAAGTTTGTAACTTTATGGTTTGAACTAAGCTGTTTGGTTCATTTTGGAAACTTTTTGTAGACATCTTAGCTTGACTTGTATGAACCTATATGACTTGTTGATCATCAAAGTTTGTAGCTTTATGGTTTAAACTAAGCTGTTTGGTACAAATTGTATGGACCTTATGACTTGTTTGATCATCAAAGTATGTAGCTTTATGTGTAAATTGGGAAAATTGACAAAATAACCCTCAACTTTCGGAAATAAGCCAAAAAAATCTCCAACCCACAAACAAGCCATTTTAATCTCCAACTTCTAGTCAAACACGAATAAATCTCATACTTTCGTTGACCAAGCCATTTTAATCTCGTCAAAATTCAACCGTTTAGTTCCGTTAGTTATATTTAACGGTTGACTTTTAGTGAGCCTAAAATGGCTTGGTCAACGAAAGTATGAGATTTTATTTAACTTAATTTAAAAATTGAAGATTAAAATTGCTTATTTAAAAATATCTTAACTAAAATTTAACTTTTTAACTAACAGAAAAAAATATAATTTTTCATACCGATTGTAATCACTAACTTAATAATATATGTTCAAATAAGTTTAGATATAATATTTAAAAATGAATTAAAAAATTATATACATCAGCTGCTGGAAATCCCTTTCACGCACTTGAGTTCCTCATTTTCACTTGTTTCATCCTCTATTAAGTATATACGATTATACTTTTAACAATAATGTGTTTAGGGTCTTACCTTTCACTTTTATTTTTTTATTCTTAACTTTTTTTGAACATAAACACTTAATTATTTTATTTTATATCTGGATTTACAGTATAATTATATTTTTAATCAAATTTTTTTACTAAACAATTTTTTTGTTTGTTTTTAATTCATTTAAAAATATTATAACTAAGCTTATATGAACATATTTTATTAAGTTTGTTATTCTAATTGATATGATAAATTACAATTTTTGTTGAAAAAAATAAAACAAAAATAGCAATTTTTAAGTTAAGATAAGTGTACAATTTTAATCTTCAACTTTTAAATTAAAATAAAAAAAAATCTCATATTTTCGTTGACCAATTTTTAAGTTAAGATAAGTGTACAATTTTAATCTTCAACTTTTAAATTAAAATAAAAAAATCTCATATTTTCGTTGACCAAGCCATTTTAGGCTCATTAAAAGTCAACTGTTAAATATAACTAACGGAACTAAACGGTTGAATTTTGACGAGATTAAAATGGCTTGGTCAACGAAAATATGAGATTTATTCGTGTTTGACTAGAAGTTGAAGATTAAAATGACTTGTTTGTGAGTTGGAGATTTTTTTGGCTTATTTTCGAAAGTTGAGGGTTATTTTGTCAATTTTCCCTGTGTAAATTTTGTAACTTTATGGTTTATTTGGTACAATTTGTATGGACCTATATGACTTGCTGATCATTCAAAGTTTGTAACTTTGGCACCGTTTGGGAACTTTTTTTACAGACATCTGAGGCACATAGCTTGACATGTATGGACCTATACGTCTTTGCAACGCCGTATAGGATCACTTGGGACTACTACTTCTCTGCTAGAGATCATACATTAAGCTTTGATTCATGGGAAGAGACAGCTGAGTTGGACTATGTAAGTTTTTTTTTTTAATTAGTTCTATGTCTTTCTTTAAGAGGCTGTGTGATTGAATTTACGAGTGTTTTAGGTGAAGGAGCATGGTGTTTCAGTGTTTCTAATGCCATCAGGAATGCTAGGGACGTTGCTTTCTTTAATCGATGTGTTACCTCTCTTCTCCAACACGGGTTGGGGACAGAACGCGAACTTGGCTTTCTTGAGTAAACACATGGGTGCTACGTTTGAGAAACGGCCTCAGCCTTGGAGGTCTGTGATCAACCCTGAAGATGTGCATTCTGGTGATTTCTTGGCTGTGTCTAAGATTAGAGGAAGGTGGGGTGGGTTTGAGACTTTGGAGAAATGGGTGACTGGTGCTTTTGCTGGTCATACTGCTGTTTGTTTGAAGGATGATTTGGGGAGACTTTGGGTTGGTGAATCAGGTCATGAGAACGAGAAAGGTGAAGAGATCATTGTTGTGATTCCTTGGGATGAATGGTGGGCTTTAACGTTGAAGGATGATTCAAATCCACAAGTAGCTTTGCTTCCTTTACTTCCTGATGTTCGAGAGAAGTTTAATAACACTGCTGCGTGGGAGTATGCACGGAGCATGTTGGGGAAGCCTTATGGATATCACAACATGATCTTTAGCTGGATTGATACTTTAGCTGATAACTACCCACCTCCCCTTGATGCTCACTTGGTTATTTCTGTCATGTCTATGTGGACTCGTGTACAACCTGCATATGCTGCAAATATGTGGAACGAGGCACTCAATAAACGGCTTGGTACTGAGGATCTTGATTTGTATGGGATTCTTGAAGAAACAGCGAGGCGTGGAATGTCGTTTGATGAGTTACTGACCATCCCTGAAAAGGATGAGTGGGTTTATAGCGATGGGAAGTCAACGACATGTGTTGCTTTCATACTTGCAATGTATAAAGCTGCTGGTGTGTTTGGTCCTCTTGCTGATCACATTCAAGTCACTGAGTTCACTGTGAGTTTCTATCTTTCAGTATTCTCCCACGTGTTGCATTACTCTTAAGCATTGTTTATTTGGTTTGTTTCAGATCCGAGATGCTTATACTCTGAGGCTGTTTGAAGATAATCAGACAAGGCTACCGAGTTGGTGTAACACGGAGAAAGGGAAGCTTGAGTTCTGTCAGATTCTAGGTGAATACAGAATGGAGTTGCCTGGGTATAGCACCATTGATCCTTATGCAAACATGAATGAGAACTGTCCGTCTTTGCCTCCTGATTATGAGAGGCCTTCTAAATGTTAGAAAAAAAAAGAAACTAATCAAAACATGTTTGTCTCTCTGTCTCGCTGTTTGTGTTTCTCTGCTTTGTGTTTGTTTGTTTACTACTAAGCTTTTACCATTTTAGTTATTAGGGAAAGAGAACCAACTTAGATAACAACCTTTATGTGAATATATATATGATGAAGTTTTATTTTATCAAATCTAATGTTTAAGCGTTGCGGTTCTTTCGGATTATCAACAAGCTGCTAACAAATAGCTTCTACCCAAAATGTTAGGCATCTATTGATACTTTTATAGGTAAATGATCACATTGACAAGTGAAACATCTAATCTTTTTTTATCTGCATGTGTTTGTTAGTTCTTTTGTATAATGTATACTCTATAGTTTCCCAAATCTTTTGAACGGTCTTATATAATCGTAAATAGCTAGATGGTCTTTTTGTTTTATATTCTACTCATTTGTTAGTGTGATTAGTCGATAGTTTATTATTATAAGTACACAATCGTAATACTGACAAGTCACACATGAAAATGTTGGCCACACACACCATACGTACGACTAAGTAATGATTTGTTAATTCACAGTTCAAGTTCTTATGATAAAATACTCGACATTCAGTAGTGGAAATTGAAATTATAATTCCAAAATATATTCGACACTCGATAGTGGAATGTGTGATCTTTGTTAATTCTTATAGTATGGATCGAACATAAATATTGGTCCGATGTAACAAGAAAAAAAAAAGAGATGGCTTAGTAAACGATGGGACACAATAAAACGTAAATGAAACTAAGGGTCAAATCTGAAAATACTTTATAACTCTGAGGGCCTCTCTCAAAATTTCTCGAACATGTGAAGACACTCCCCAATTGAGACAGGCCTCTCTCTCTCTCTTGGTTCGCACGCACTGTGTAGGAAGAGAGTCCGTCGCGTTCGTCTTCGTCTCCAGCGATAATAATATAATAAACTTTCCGGTTTCTCCTCATCCGTTTATTTAATCGGAAAATTCGTCGGTGATCCCTTAGTAATCGTTCGTTCGTATCTTCAGTTAATTTTCATAGGGTTTTCGCTGTCAAAATGTCGGAAGATTCTAGGCAGAGTAGGGTCACTATCACTCTAGGCCGTACCGGCCAGGTAACGTTTATGTTCCTATTAGAGTGTGTTCTCGTGAACATGTTTGAGTAGCTAAAAGTGTTAATCACTTTTTTGCAGGTGGTAAGTCGAGATGGAGACAATGAGTTGGTTAGAGTTGGGACCAAGAGGTCTGTTAAAGAGAGATTAGGGAATCAGTTAGATAGTGATGCTGTCATTAAAAGGTGTTTCCTTTTTTCCTTTTTATTATGTGTAGCTTCTTAACTTAGTGACATTGTTGACGAAAGTTTGCACCTTTCTTTGAGCTCATGGGGTTGGGAATAATTAGTATTTTGCTGCAAACATATTGGAGTTTCTTATTAGCTTGTGTTATTTCTATGATTGTCAACGAAAGTTAGTCCCTTTCTTTGGGCTGAGGATAATGAGTATTGGATTTTAAGCAATCACTGAGATATGAGTGTTTTCTCTTCTTTGTTTTGTTTTTGTGTAGGCAAAGAGGGGAAGCTAGTTTCAGTGGAAATGGTATAATCTGTGAATTACTGGATACACTACTAGCATCTTTGCTGATTTTCTGACTCCCCACTACTCTTTATGTTACTAAGATTTGCAGATCAGTCAAAATGATCTCCGCTTCAAACTGATGCAGAGAAGAACTCAGAGCGATGGAGGCAGCGGTATGGATCTTCGTGAGAAGCTTCTCTCCAAGAGTGAGCAGCCTCCTCCTCCTCGTAGTCTTGATAGTCGTCCTCGTTTGGATGAGCCAAGGGATGTCAGATTGCCTCCATCAAGAACTGTTCGTGGTCCCTCTCGCATGCTTTCATCAAGCAGTTACCACTCTCCACGGACCCTGGATGTGGATGATGTAGGAAGGAGATCTCCAGAGAGGCTTGTGGTTAGTTCCAGGGAACGATCACCACCAAGAAATGCTAGATGTATCAGTGGCTCCCCAAGGGCTTTATCACCTCTAAGGAACACTAGAAGCTTTACTGGTGGTTCTAGGGCTCCTCTTTCACCGCCAAGAGATGCTGGAAGAAGAAGTGGTCATCCAAGGGATCTATCAATATCACCTCCAAGAAATTCTGGAAGAATGATTGGCCATCCAAGAGATCTTACACCGCCAAGACATGCTGGAAGAATAAGTAGCCATCCAAGAGATCTATCACCACCAAGAAATGCTAGAAGAATAAATGACTATCCAAGGGATCTATCACCTCCAAGAACTGCTGGAAGAACAATTAGTCATCCAAGGGATCTATCAGTATCACCGCCAAGAAATGCTGGAAGAACATTTGGTCATCCAAGGGATATATCACCACCAAGAACTGCTGGAAGAACAATTAGCCATCCAAGGGATCTATCACCGCCAAGAAATGTTGGAAGAACAATTGGTCACCCAAGGGATCTGTCACCGCCAAGGAACACAAGTAGCTTCAGTAGTGGCTACAGGACTCTGTCTCCAACTAGAAATGTGGGAAGCAGCAGCTACATGAGTTCTTCCCGGGGGTTTTCCCCTCCTAGGCATCCTGGAAGCTACGTGGGTTCTTCAATGGGTTCGCCTCCTTCAAGGAACATGGATGATTTTAGTGGACGAAGCAGGATGCTTGATGACTTGAGAGCCTCACCGTATGGAGTCAGAGGCGTACTAAATAGTCAAGCACCAGCAAATGTCACTACTTTCTCCAGGCCAATGTTACCTCCACCCGTCCCAAACCCTCATATGTTGCCTCCTATGAGTCAGTTTCCTCCTTTTGGAAGTATTATGCAGAACAGTCCCTTCCCTGTAAGATCCATTTTCTTCTAAGTTTGTGTTTATCTTATACTTGCGTGATATAACATGTGTCATGTTATATCTGCTTTGTGATGTAACAGGTGGAAGAGCCTCTAACAGTAGACAGCTTTCTACATTCACTTGGACTTGGAAGATACTCCCTAAACTTTAAAAGAGAGGAAGTAAGTGTGACATTATATCCTTGTCCAAAAGTTTCTTTAGTATTCATCAATAACTGGACTAATATTGAGAACAGGTGGATATGACCACAATAAAGCAGATGAAAGAAAGTGATCTAAAAGATCTCACCATACCCATGGTAACTTTCCTTTTGATACTTTATAAAACAACTAAGATTGATATGTTCTTTTAGCAGATTTCTTGAACTTTTGGTCTGTTGATTTTAATGCAGGGGCCAAGGAAGACGATTCTTCAGGCGATAGCGTGTCTTCCAAGACATTAGCTTATATGAGAAAACGGGTTTGGTGGTCTCTCGCTGATTCTCACTCTTTGGATCTTGTTGACCCTTTTTTTTTGCTGATCCAAACTAATTAAATGTTTTTGTGACTCGGAAATCGAAACTCTTCTCACCGGTTAACTGTAGGCAGAATTTTCCTATGTAGTTCTTCTCTGTGGTGCAGTTTTATCTTTTTTCTTCTAGAACAAGTTGTTGACCGAGCCGAGCTACACTCGTGCTCAGGGTTCATGCCTTATTTTGAAAACGTGACTGGCATTTTGGTGAATAGTTTTTTAGTATGAGAGGTGTTTCTCATTTTACATAAGCAAAACAAGCACATCTAAAAAGCTTATGTCTTAACTTTATTTTGATCCCTCATAAGTCATAATCATTAATTAGTACAAGTTGAAGGAACTCGTTTTCTCATGCGCTTTTTGTGTCTTTTGACAATTATAAACTCTTGAAGCAAAGAAACGAACAACGAGCAAGAACAAAGTTGAAAAAGAGCTCGTTCAAGTGTGAATGAGAAGTCCAATAGGCTTTAAGAAGAGGACGATGAGATGGTTCTATAACACTTCTATTTGACTTTAAGAATGCACCAAAAAAATATTGTTAATACTGAAAGTTTCGCTTACATCTATTTGATACCTCTTTTTTTCGTCTCTATATTTTATTTTGCTGTCTGTATATCTGTTGGATGTTTTTCTTTTTACCTTATTGTAACTTCAGTTCATTATAAACACCATTTCAAATTTGAACATTGTTACAGTTTGGGTGAAAGAATATTAACGAGAAGATCAGTAGCCGTTTCACTTTTCCACTCGGATTAAAAGGTAAAAAAAAAACAACACATTGCGTCTAAAGCCCAAGCTTATTAAGCCCAGCATGATTTTTAAATCAGTATCGCCCGGGCCTTTTTAGTCCTACGTTTCAGCATCCCACATCGGAAAAACTGGGAGTAAGTAGCAGCAGAAGTGACTATAAATATATATGTCTCGTCTTCCTTTGAAAATCACGCAGCCATGTGGTGAGCACAAAGCGAACTATTCTTTCGCCTTTTACTAAAGAATACCGTGTGCTCTCCACGCTAAGTGGCATACGCCTATTTTTGGAGGGTCCCACTTTCGGGTGGGCCCAACAAAACTTAGTTAAAATGTTTAAACTTAGTTTGGTTTAATTCTAGACCGGCTACAGATATAAATTTGTCCTTGTGAAGAATCAAGTTTCAATTGGACTAATAATGCTTACAAGACATTTCCATTAAATCATAAACACTGTTAATTATATTTGCTTGATTCATATTTTACTAATTTCTACCAAAAATGTTGCATTACTTAAGTTTTCAAAATAGGGTTTACAGCAAGGCCTACAATAAACAAAACAACTTGATATTGTGTCATCATTGTGTTCCTCTGTTTATTTGGGCCTAAAAGAAAACATATTGGGCCTATTTTGTGCACATATATGGGCTTTTTAAAAAACTCTAATTGCTCCCCAAATGACGCAAAAAAACCCCATACGTCGCCTTCAACTGATCTTTTTTCTGCGAAGCTTTTGATTAGTAAAAGATGAGTTTAATCCTCAGATTCAGGCGACATTTACCAATGAGGTCACCACTCGTTTCTCTCATCGGCGATCGCCGGAGTTTCGGAAAACCGGCGAGCCAATCAGATGAGAAAGAAGCAATCGATCAGAGGAAGCTCCCAACGGATTACGATCCCGCGAGATTCTATCCGACGGAGCAACGTAGTCCACCAACGGAGCGCGTGTTCAGGCTCGTCGACGAGATCTCGTCTCTCACTTTATCAGAAGCCTCAGATCTCGGTGCGATTCTGATGAGGAAGAAAGGAGTCACGGTGATACCAAACGTCGCCGTCACGATGGTTCAGGGACAAAGCGTTGGTGTTAGTGAATAATATTTGTTTCTTTTAATGATGTTTCGTCAGAAAAAGGTTTTTATTCATTTGCTAAAATAATCAGATGTTTGTGATGAACGGTTCTGTTCTAATGTTTCTTGACACGGTTTCAGACATATTGGTTTTGTCTCAACTCTCTTGTTTTATTTAATTAATTGAATAATAACAAGAGAATTTAAGAAAATAATAAACAAAAATCTTTTAAACAATTAGGTTACGTGAAACTCAAGTTTTACTTACCAGCTTCGCTCAATTTGGTCGAGCAACTTAAACCCTTTCCTTCATCTCCTTTGCTTCTACTTCAAAGTTCAAATTCACCCCAAGCCTCCTCCTCATCATCATATTCTACTCCTTTAGAGTGGAGCAAAACAAAATTGCATAGCAGATAACCTCAAGAAAGCCCATTACTATATTGTATTCATGTGGTGTTTACTGCTTGGATCAGTTCAAGCCCATTAATGTGGAATTCGATCTATTAAGCTCATTGGTTTCTGTAATCAATATTCTGATGTAGCTTTGATGTGACACAAAATTGTGCTTGCTTACATTTAGCCTATTTACATGGAATCATATATTATGGATTTTATTGAAAAGATTTATGAATATGTGAGACAGCATCTTACATAGGCCCCAGGTTTCATGAACTTCATTAATAATTATTATTGTTATACTCCATCTGTTTTCTGAAAGGTGTTTTCTAAGAAAATTGTTACACATAAACTTATTTAGATGTGAATTTTTAAAATATTTTAATCTAGCAAATGCATTTAATTAATAAAATGATTATTAACTAAATAAATATAACTCTTAAGAATATAAATAAGTTTTAATATTTTATTGATATGTGTGATAGTGTCAAATAACATTTTTTTGTAAAACATATGGAATATTATGTTTTTAACCCTTTTTACTAATGTTGATTTGATTAGCCATGACAAAATCAAAGATTGGTCTGTTTTTAATTTTTCGCGGGTTCAGCCTACGATTGGTATGTTTTTAATTTTTTTTAAAATCATGCAAAAAAAAAAAAAACTCTTAATGGGTTTTAGATATAATCATGGTCTAAGATTTCAAAGTAAATATTAAAGTGTTTAAAAAGTAAGGAAATAAAAAGAGTGCAGAATACAAAAATGCTAGGCTGTGTGTAGCCCCATTATAGAGGGATGGGGATTAAGCTTTGTACATATTTACGTGTCCATTTTGGAATTGGACTAGTCCTTGATTTGAAGTCATGAGATCTCTGTCAGTGGGACCGTTTCTTCATACATGTTGGTCCGTGTCACATGTGTGGTTTGACTATGTATCTTATACTTATACATATACGTACGGTGTTAATGTTATATGTCTACACAAGTCAAACATAAACCTGCTTGCATATATCACCACCCAATAAATCAAGAGAGAATTAGGCAAATGCCCAAAATCCAAGCCTATATTAGGCGATTACCCATGATGGGACATAAGAGTAAAGTTTTTTACAATTTAGACTTGTTAAGACAATTTTGTCCTTCTCACTTTCTCTTTCCCATGTGAAATATCTGATTTCTCTCTCTTCCTCCAACGATTCTTCATTTATTTCTTACATTCATTTTATTTAAACCACACATATTTTTTACATAACTCTTTTTTACATTCATTTCTTTTTTTTTTTTGATATTTGTTTCTCATCTACAATTTTATTTGTAGATAATTTTTAAATTTACTCATTTTGATAGAGAAATGAAACTTCAACAATATTTATTTGTTAACATATAATACATAACGCAAGTATTGACATCTACAAGATTTATTAACAACTAACATCTCTGTTAACACTTGTAATACATGTCTTTGTTAACAGTTAACACATCTGTTAACATTTACAAAATTTGTTAACAGTTACTGTCTCTGTTAATACATCCGGTACTGTATTTGTTAACAGTTAACACTTTTGTTGACATCTACATTATTTGTTAACAGCTAACATAAGTGTTAACATCTCGGCGAATTTTAAAAAAACTTCAACGCTGATTTTTTCAGAATGTGGTGAAATTAGATTCAAAAGAATAGTAGTAAAATTGTAATAAATTTTTTCGCAACAATAAATTTTTACACAAAAAAAAGAAGGAATTAAAATGATAAAGAGAGTTTGAGAATGAGAAAAAAAAGGAATTAAAGGAAAGAGAGTGAGAGAGAGTGTGTCAGGAGAGGAAAGAGGGAGTGTCAGGAGAGAAAGTGTGTCAGGAGAGAGAGAGAGTCACATGTAAAAGAAAGGGCAATTTGGTCTTAAAATTTATTAATGTCAAATCGTGGACATTTCACTAATATGGGAGGCTGATAGAGTGTTTCAGCCAATATTCTCATAAATCAATATATTACTTAGTATGAAAGAAAGAAAGAAAGAAAGAAAGAAATGCCACATATCAGAACTATTATATAGTCAAACATCCATAAAACTTTTGACATTAAAATCGTCCTATCATTGTTAACTAGTCTTATGAACATTAGAGTTAGGTTGAGTTGCGAGTAGCTGTTGAGTTGGCCTACGCTGCTGAGTTCTAAAGTCAGTCAATAGTCACTATAATCTTTTATTTTTATTGGTTGCTATTTCTATCATCTTTTGCTATTTCTATCATCTTTATTCTTTAGGCTGTTAAGTACGAATACTTTTAACGATATAATGTGCTTATAATAATGTCACGCACGTATATTATATAGATTGGAAGTATGAAACCACGATAGGTATCTACATCTAATAAAAAGGATTTTGAGTTTACTATTAAAGAATAGCCATAAAATATGTCACGCCGCCACTGTAATTAATTGATTTCGATAAAAAAGATAATAGAGCTATAAGATATACCAAACTAAAAAAAAAAAGATATACCAAACTAAGAAGAAAAGCTTAGTGGATAGTTAGATAAGCAGCAACTTCGGCAGTATAACATTGACAAAACATCTTCTAAGTGAAGCTTTTTGCCTTTTTGGTATATAATACATATACATACATTTGCATTGCATATACGTGTACGTATATATATATCCTTTAAGTTATCGTCTAATCGGTAGTACTAATTAATCCATTTGTGTTAGGTTGAAAACTTCTGTGAGATCTATCCGGATGCATTCATTAATTAGTACCAGTGTGTAAACAACATGAATAGTACTATTCGTATGTTGTTTAAGAACCTAATTGGGGCTATATACATGATTTACTCATGCTAAAAATATAAATAGTACTATTAGTATGTTGTTTAGGAACCTAATTATTTTATTTCACCCATTTAACATATTTTATCTTTTAGAACTTTTAATTTGATATACCAATGAAATGATAATGTGATACTGCCTTGTTTCCTTAAATGCTAGTTAGTATAACATAATAATATAAGCAATAGACATTGTTGTGTTATTACGTCTTTATTAACTTATGAATCAGTAAAGATATATATATATATATATTTATGTTTTACCCAAAAAGAAATAGATTATTTACTAGAAAGATCACTGAAACAGAGAAATGAAGTGGAAATCTCTTTCTTAGGAAAATAATGATATGTTTCTGAGTTTGATCGGGAGCCTATATGCCACTGAACGAGAGAATAAAGATGTTATATAAACAAAAGAAGAAGAACGATAGGGTATAGAGATAAATAAAGTTACATGTAGCAAGGGGACAGAAATAGTGGTATAGAAAATAGCGAGTCATAATCGGCCAACGCCGACCAAAGTCCAAAAAGATATACAAAAGATGGAGAAGGGTCCCTCTGAACACTTCTTGTGTGCATATCTGGATGGCAACTTGTACCAGATTGCTTACGTCTTTCAAACACATCACTTAAGTTGGCGTAATATTACTATTTAACCAAGAGGTTTTAAGGCTTTTTGTGTTGACACTTGACACTATACTTCTATATATAAGAAAATAATTAAACAAATATGAAATGGACACAGAAACATTGTATTAATAATTAAAAACAATCTTCATTAGTGTGTCTAATCTTTTTTGATCAAACCATTCTTCTTTAAACATAATCATACTACAGAGTTTGCAATCTCAGGGAGATTGTTTGATAACAGAAGCAGAGCATTCTTCGCCAACAGGTCAGCAGGACCATTAGTGTGTCTAATCTATAAATTGTTTTTGAAAGTATCACTATACATAAACCATCTTGCAAATACATGCAGATATGTATAGAGTGAGGAATTAAAGAAAGTTGAGATTTTAAATTCATGTTGATGTGTATAGTAAAAAACGTCGATCACTGATTAATGCAAAAATTTCATTCAAGCGTCATTATCATTCCATTGAAATTGGTAGCTACAGTGATCTGAGTTCACTGATTTTTCAATGTTTGGTTAGAATAAATCAAACTGGTACTGAAAAAATGTGTTCCACGAAATAACTCAAACATATATATATTTCAGTTAACTCAACATGGACTTTTTGGGTCATCGATCAATGATCATTGTATATGAAGAGAGTTCTGCGTATTTGATTGAAGAGTTATATGTGTCAATACGGTCCGAGTTGACCATGCTACAGAAGAATAAAACATTTCATAACGAGTATCAATTAATGTGACGATGATGATATAAAATAATGTCTACTGCAGAATGTAACATGTGAATCTGAAATAATCATTCAACAACGATTGTTGACTATAAGACAATAGATCCAAATGAGTTTTTATTTGAGAAAAATAAGACATTTAACCAAATTGACGATCCCTACCACGAGAATGTAGTGTCAGTCTGATAAACTGTTGTAGACTGAGAGGTGCATAATTTCTCTCCTGACTTTCAATATTTTGGCTTCATTGATTTTAATATAAATAAACACATACATATATTAATAAGTCGTAAATATATATATATGTATACGAGTGTATACCGTAGGTATGTTTTGATTTTGTCTACCTAATAGAGAAATGGATTACTAGAACCAACCGAGTCAACATAACCTGTGTCAGGAATTACACTGGCTTTAGAGAAGAAAAAAAAGGTTTCCGTATTCACCATTGCTTTCATATGAAAATTTAAGTAAAATTTCGATTTGCAGCTACATACATAAAACACAATGAGAAATGACAAACTACAAATCTGTAAGATACGTTTATAGACTACTACCTCAAACGGTTTGAGTCAAACCTATACTGAAGAGACAAATATATTTCGCGCAGTTCTACCAAAATTAAATACTTATAAATGCAATCAGAACCATAACCACAACCTGTTTAATGTTGAGAATGTTCATCCTTCCTCAGTGACCGAACATAAAACGGCCTCATGACCTCCATGCAAACCAGGCCAAAATAAGCTTATAGCCAATTACTAAATTACACGTCAGCATAGTTTTACACAATACAGACCTCTCTCCTCACGAGTAGTATCCAAACAAACGTCTGTACAGCCTGTACTCATGCAACCTCTACGTGATTACATTACCTCACCCTCGCCTTTTATTCCACAGCTTATTGCTAACCTGCTCCTTGTGCTTCAGCGCATGTTAGTCACAACACAATACATAAGAAAACTCAAAACGTCAAAGCCCAATGTAACAGTCCCGTTTTCCCGGGCAAAACGGATACTGTAACAGTCTCTGTTTCGTTCTCCAACAACATAGTTTTAATAAAAAAAATAAAAAATAAAAAAATAATATTAATCTCACTGTTCTCTCTGCTTTCTCGTGTTTATATATCAAAACAAATGAAATGTTTTAAAAGCCTCACTTATACTCTTCTCTCCACACAAAATCAAGAATCCATTTCTTGACCTCTCTCTCTCTCTCTCTCTATCTCTTCATCTTCTTCTTCTGATGAAATGATGAGCCGCCTCAGCGACTGTGGTTCCTTTTCCGGTTGCTGCGGAGAGGATTCCTCCGACGTGTTTTCCGGTGAATCAACGGCTGATATCTCGTCGGAGGAAGTTGTTTCTTGGCCGGATGATTCAATAGCGAGCTGTATAGAGGACGAGAGACACTTTGTTCCAGGACTTGACTATCTCTCTAGGTTCCACTCTCAATCTCTGGACGCTTCGGCTCGTGAGGAGTCTGTCTCATGGATACTCAAGGCAAGCAAGCGTTTTAACTATCCTCTCTCTCTCTCTCTATAATAAACTTATTTTTCCGGTCAAGGCGTTTACATGAAGAGATGGCCTTTTTTTGACACTGTGCTATTGTTTTGTTTGGTTACAGGTAAAAGCGTATTATAAGTTTCAGCCTTTAACCGCGTACCTCGCGGTTAACTATATGGATCGGTTTCTCTACGCTCGCCGATTACCGGTAAAAAGCTTAAAACGTCAACGTTAATATTCTCTCTATTTTAAGTTACAAAAAAAATATATTCTCTCTATTTTTTGATCATTTTGATATGACAAAAAAAGACTGGTTTTCACTTTTTAATGAGATCTATTGACTTTTCTTCAAAGATTTTGAAAACGACCTTGGTGTATAAAACTTTTATGTTATTTATGAAAATTAGTGGTATTTGTAAAAATTAACGAATAAATATATAAATGGAGATATTGATAGAACAGGAGCCAAGGAGCGGGATGTGGAGATTTTTTATTATTCATTTATAAAAGATTTTTTTCTTATTACTTTACATTATTATTTTCATAATAATATTATCATATTTTAAACGGTATAATAGTAAACTTTACACTCCATATATCTGCTTTATAGATGACTTTTGATTATAGTGTAAACCGCTCCTCTAGTATAATAATATTTCAGATTAATATATCATGATATTAAATCAGCTTTTCTTTAACAGGAGACTAGTGGTTGGCCAATGCAGCTTTTAGCAGTGGCATGCTTGTCTTTAGCTGCCAAGATGGAGGAAGTTCTGGTTCCTTGTCTTTTTGATTTCCAGGTATAAATTTGGTTATATTCTAAAGATTCTTTTTATAGGATCTGGATTTGCCTCCAGTATGTTTATTTCTTGTCTCTTTGTTTGTGATATAGGTTGAAGGAGTGAAGTATATATTTGAAGCAAAGACAATACAAAAAATGGAACTTCTTGTTTTGAGTGTGTTGGACTGGAGACTAAGATCCGTTACACCCTTCAGTTTCCTCAGCTTCTTTGCTAACAAGATTGATCCTCTAGGAACCTCTCTCGGGTTCTTTCTCTCGCATGCTACAAAGATTATACTCTCCAACATTAGAGGTAATGTAATGTTGTGTATGAGCTCCTTAATATATTTATCATACGTACACTAGTTTGGTTCTAATAAAAAAAATGCATATTAATTGGTACAGAAGCGAGCTTTCTTGAGTACAGGCCATCTAGCATAGCTGCAGCTGCGATTCTCTGTGTAGCCAACGAGTTACCTTCTTTATCCTCTGCTGGAAATCCACACGAGAGCCCTGAGACTTGGTGTGATGGATTGAGCAAAGTAAGTTAGATTTTAGAATGTTTTTTTTAATAAAAAAATAGGGGAATGAAAACTACTTTTAATTAATATTTTATATTGTCTTAATTTTCAGGAAAAGATAGTGAGATGCTACAGGCTAATGAAGGCCATGGAGATAGAGAACAATAGGAAAAATTCACCAAAAGTGATAGCAAAGCTCAGAGTGAGCGTAAGAGCAGCATCCACATTGATGAGACCAAGTGAAGAACCCTATTCCTCATCATCATCATCATCCTTATCTTCTCCATGTAAAAGGAGGAAACTAAGTGATTACTCGTGGCTAAGTGATGACAACTCCAGCTCAGAATAAACAGAGGTGGGGGAGTCAAGTATAGTATGAAGTACATAGTCTAAGAAAAAGAGTTATAAATAATTAAAACAATAATTAGTGGGTAAGATTTGCGTTAGTTGGGAGAGGTCATCATTAATGACTTTGCAGATTCCCAAGGAGAAGAAAGTGAGTGAGTGTAATAAACACACGTGTGAGAAGAGAAGATTATGAGTGTGTGTGTGCTTGAGAGAGAGAAGACCATGAATGCATTTTACAGTCACAATTGTGGAAGATCTTTGAATTTCAGACAGAGGCGTTTGTCTTAATGGATCGCAGAAGTCGTGGACCCCAAGCTTCTTTGGGTAGTTGCAAGTATATATATATGTTGTTTTTTCTTTTGTAGTGATGATATTTTTTATTTCTTGTGTGCGACTGCTCGTGCCGGAGACGTGTGTCGCACGTGTTTGCTTTCTTTTCTCTTCAAATATTTTTTTTGGCGGGAATTTTGTGTTCTGATGTACATTTTATTTACACCCCCTATGCATGCGTGTAAGGCGTCACGTGTGTATATTTATATGATTGTTTTTGATATTGAATGTTTCTTAGATTTTTTTTTTTTTGGAAAAGAATATATGTAAGACATGGAGCTAAATAATGAAGCAAAATAAATAATGGTTGTAGCGGACTTGCAGACATTGTTAATTGTGAGAAGGATGTAAGATAAGATAATACTAGTGGTGTGGCCTTGTGGGGAGCATAAGCCATGTGAACCCGTGAGTTTGTGAATCGTGTTCTATGTATTTTATTGGACGATAACGTATGAAGACAAAAAGTATATTTTATTTTACTTTAATCTAAGACCAAAAGAAAAAAAGATTATTTGATGTTCAGAGTGAGTGAGCTCTCCTCGCACGCAGCCTTCATCAAATGTTATCTCTGAAACACATTTTTGTAGATAAAGGTTCTCAATTCTAACACACAATTGTTTTTTTCAAAAAAAAAAAAAGAATTCTAACACACAATTGTACAAGTGATTTTTGTATTTACCTATTTTAACAGCAGTGAAACAACAACAAAATATGTTAAACACATTCATTTCTTTCTTGGTTATATACTTTTGGTGTAGATGAATAATTAATTAGAGCAGTAGCAAACATGTGATGTGATCTGTCTCCATGTCAGAGAAAGTGGTCTCACCACAACGTAGCAACAACGTTTCCATTCTTGAACTCCTCAAACACTAGCTAGCCACACAAATACCAAGTCTGCATCTATCTATATATGCACGAATGTACAAGTAGACAGGAAATAAGAAGTGAAAGAAAAGTCAAAGCTAATTTGCTGCTAAACAAAACACTTATTTTGACTTTAGGGTTATAACGAAGCTATTTTGACTTTATTCCGACATAGGTGAACCATACCTTAATTCTGATAAATTAGTTTAATTTATCTATTTATTCTTAATCAACGACATTAGTTTTTCGTCCCCCAATGAACAAATCACGCGTCTCATAAACTAATCTCATCACTTCTTTACTTATCTATCGGATTTAACAACGTAATCTACTTCGATATGCTCATGACGCTCCTCTTCTCTTTATTCACTATTTAAGTTTACATCACTTTTCCCATTTTCAACATGATGTTGACATCATTGTATACATTCAAATCCGTATATAAATTATTGAAAATGCACTGTGATCAAACTATTCCACTCAGAAGTACATAACGATTTGTGTTACTACTTTTACTCCAGTCAGTATTACTATTCATTAACATTATAAGAAATCTTGCCATGATTTTTGAAATTCATGAATATATAAATGGTATGGTGCAAGAGCATGAACACGACATGACAAGCTGAGGACGAAGCATATTGACAAGATAACTATTACAAGAAAGATACAATAGTAGTATTGTAAAAGAAGAGAACGAGAAATAATAGAAACTTCACGCACTACTATTTAATCTAACATGAAGCAAAAGTAATATTGGTGTTAGGTGATTGATTTGCAACTGCTAATTACAAATTAATTATGACAGCACACGCTTTTGGACGTATCAAGCATTGCGATTACCTTCATAATTCTTTATTAACTTTTTATTTATTCTAATCCTCTTTTGGGTTTTGATATAGACAGACAGGGACGCAAAGGGACCGAAGCTTATATATCAGCGAATAAAAGACATTTATCTTTTAATTACTATCTTAACTATCTTTGTCCTGTTGGTTTGGTACACGCATTTGCCATTACTTGCATACCTTTTAAATTATCTGCAATAATATTTAGACTCTTTTTTTGCGTACATTTCACCAGCATTTAATTAATCAAACCGAACATATATTATTTTTATATAGAAAATAGACAACGATATCTGATTGTAACGCGACTAAGACAAAATGACATTATATAATGACATGATTTGCATTCATTTTCGTTTAGAGAAAATGGACAAGTTTAATAGCATTCCATTAAAGCTGACAAACAAAAAAAAGCATTACATTACATGTACACATGTAGGTGAGTGTGTCATGTGGGTATGAGGAATAAGATCAGAAAGACTTAGCTTTATTTTCAAGTAGTGTTAAAGTGAAGGATCCTAGGTCTAGTTTACTCAAAGCCAAAGGCCGATACTGTATATCGATCCCACCCGTTTACTTATATTCTCATATTTCATATATTTTTCTTTTAAAAATGTAATTATCGAAATTTACAAAAAAAAAAAGTAATTATCGATCATTGAAAAATGAGGTGTTAAATGTTTCAAATTGTAAACACAAAATGCTTGTGCTAGAAATTAGTAACATGGCAATAAAGGTTAAAAACCTGAAAATAAATTCAATCGATACTCCATCGACATCTCAATTTGGTAATATTGACATCAATTAGTAACAATAAATGATTTGAAAGCCCGAGAGATATTTGATCTTATCATTACACTCTACGTAAATGAATTAAGAACATACAAAAGCTTATCTTTTTAACATTTAATTTTAAAGCGAAGCAATAGGAAGAAGAAATTCGAAGGAATACATTCTAGAGCATACAGAAACAAAGTTTGAACATGTATTCTATGCCTTTAATCTTTAGAGAAGAGAAGATACAATATATTCATTAAATGAATCAAACTTTGGATGCTTGCAAAGTAGAAAGAAATACAAAGTGATAAGATAATAGTTAGAGAAGGAATATTTAAAAAGGAGAATGCAATGGTGGCATGGCCCGACCCGTAGGGCGTGAGAGAGTGAGTGAACTTGGTTTCTCGAGGGAGCGTCTTGCATTCTATATTACTTTAGAAACTTTCGTGGTTTGCTTTTTGTTATTTATGATCACAAACCAAGATTTAGTCACTCTTCCTTATGTGCACTTTCATTCCACACCTTATGATTTCTATAGTGGACATTTACACTTCCTTCTTACCAAAGTCCTCTGTTTCATCATCAATTACTCTTTTCCTAATCCCACCTATTCATGTTGTTACAAGGACACTCGCGCGCACGCGTGCGCAACACACACACATGTGTATGTGTGAAAGAGAAGCTCTAACTAATTACCATCTTAATTATAATTAGAGTGATTTAGCTCAAAATACCAAAAGAAGTAGATATTTAGGGATTTGCCATATTTTAGGGGGAAAAATTAGTGATGGGGGGAAGGAAAGAGAAGAGAGAAATAGGGTATAGAGCTAAATAATGTGTTTTGTGTGTGTATGGAGTGCAAATACTCTTATAATTAAGCATGTTTAGTATCTATTATATTAAAATATAAGTCACAATTTCATTTTGATTTTTTTAGTTGAACCTCCTTAGAAACATGTATAAATGTATTTTCTTAACATTAATAAGATAAATTTTGTAACTACTTTAATCATAATATATTTTGATATTTTTCATTTTAAATATAAATATATAATTTTAAAAAAAATTCTAGCAGATTTTGTGAAAAAAGATTTTTCCTAGATCTTAATTTCAAAAAAATTATATAAATATTTTCAATAATTTCGTAGTTAATAATAAATATTATTATGCATTAAGATATAGTTAGTTATTGCTTATAAAAATGAAAAATAAAAATTCTATTTATAGTTTCTTTATTTTATAATCATAATTAATCATATAAAATAACTATTATACCAAACTAAATAGGATAAAAATATCTTAAGATGATATATTAACATATTATATGTTAATATAAATATTTATTTTAAAATAATATAATATGTTGGCAAAACGGGTTAGCAGACTAAACTATATAATATATTTATACAAATCAATATATATATTAAAATTTTATATATACACAACAAAATATTTTATTTAAAATGAATAAACACTAAAGTTGTTAAAAGATAATCTAAAACTTTAAAGTGCACGTAAGAATTTAAAATACATTAAATATAATTGTATTTTTAGATATATTATTCATGTATATATTAATCTGATTAATACACAAATGTAAATCTAATAAGATAAATATATAGTAAAAATAATAAATACATGTGACGGTTATATAAATATTTAAACATATAATCAATGTTAAAATATATACATGTAAAACATATAACTATAAATATATAAATGAAATTTAACACCCCCATAGTTTTACATGTCAAAATTTAGTTATAACTTGAATTACAAATTTGATACTAAAAACAATTTTAATAGTTCACACTCAGCATGTGTGTTAGTCCACTTTCTAGCGGTACTTATTTCCTTATGATTAAAAAAATTATACTGGTTTTTATTTGATCCGTAAATTAGACTCCATCAACATTTGCATTGACTTGATCAATAAATTAGACTCCATAGCTCAACATTTGCCATATAGTTTTCATATTGTTTTGCAAGGGAAAAAGGCTGAACTTGAGAGAAAGGAGACGAGCATAAAAAGAAAAGTAAAGAGCACAGTGCTGAAAGCAATAAAGGAAGATTATAAGTTTTTGCAGATTGAAATTTTACAGAGATTCAGCAAAGCGATAAAGAAAGTAGAAAGTTAGAAGCAAGACATTTTTTCTGGGAAGAAAGCTGGTTTTTAGTTAAAGAAAGACAAAAAGAAATGTTACACTCTTTTAGATTTGACATTAAAAAAGCTTGTGAATATCACTTTATAGGAACCATGTCAATAATACATTGAATCTAAATTCACAAATGAAATATGTTATTCCTATAATTACCACCCTAACTAAGATTGCATTGCTTTGATTGGGCTACAACTTGGGAAAAGGCTCAAGTGATCTTAATTCACAGATTTTCCAATGTTTTGTTAAAATAAATCAAACTGGTAATAAGAACAAAAAACACTCGGCCCATCTCGTTAACTATTCATGATAGTTTGAATGCATTATAAATTACAATCATAGCTCGTAACTAACTGGTAAAGATGAAGCATATGAGAATCATATACGAGCAGTAATAAAAAGCCTTAGTATAATATGGTTCTTCAAGGGGCATAATGAATTGCAACTTTGCGTACGCAAGCAACAACCATCTTGGTGTAGATACAGAGAGAATCATCCACTCTCCCCGCCCTAATGTATGCATTGATGAGTGCTCTGAAAGTGACAACGTCAGGTGAAGTCATTTCCGCAAGTAAAGACTCAACAAATAATATTTTTTGAGTTATATAAATCGGAATTATTTTATTTAAAAAGATATTATTTAGATTTTGGATAATTTTATGATTATTATTAGTTTTAGTTAATTATCTAATCAAAATAATTTAAATTTGTTTTTATTTTGTATGTAATTTATATATTATAATTTATAGGGATGTCAAAATGGATCATGATCCATGGGTTGATCCAACCCAAATTGATCCATTAACCCAAATGAACTGTTTATTTTTGACCCAATGAATTAATGGGTTAACATGTTAATAGGTTAACAAATTAATGTATTAACATGTTAATGAGTCTATTGGGTTGGGTCAACCCCCACCCATTTAATTTGTAATTAAATTCAAAAATTAAAAAGAAACTCATTAACTCCAAATTAAAGTTGTCCAATTGGACATCACGTTTTCCCATCAAAACCGCAAAATCACGATTTCCCGTCATATCTGCCAAATCAAGTTTTTCCGCTAAAACCGCAAAATCACGTTTTTCCGCCAAAACCACAAAATTACTTTTTTCCGCCAAAACCACAAAATTACGTTTTTCCGCCAAAACCACAAAATTACGTTTTTCCGCCAAAATCGCAAAATTACGTTTTCTCGCCAAAACTGCAAAATCACCTTTTTCCCGGTAAAACCGCAAAATTATGTTTTCCAGCCAAACCGCAAAATTATGTTTTCCGCCAAAACCGCAAAATCACGTTTTCCAGCAAATTAGTTTAATCATGTTTTTCCGCCAAAATCGCTTAATCATTTCTCGCTAAAATCGCAATATTTTTCCCGCCAAACCGTAAAATCATGTTTTTCCCGCCACCTAAAACCATGTTTAACACTATTTATATTAATTGAGTTCCGAAAAAATCCATTTAAAATGGTCCATTTTAGGTTTGGACAAAGATGTTGGTTGATGGATCAACCATTAATCCATCTGACCCATATAATTTAATGGGTCATGGGTCAACCCAACTTATTTATTAAGAGGGTTGGATTGACCCATAACCCATTAACAATCAACCCTTTTGGGTTATGGGTTGGGTTGACCTATTTTGACACCATGTATAAACGATATTAATCACTATAACTTTTAATGTGAGAACTCTGTTGCGAAAAATGCGAAAAATCACACGCAAATAATAGTACTGTATATAGAAGATAAACAGACCTTTTTGAAGTCTTATACACTAAAAAACCAGAAATCAAACCGATAAGATACACACGTACCAGAATTCCTAATTTAAATATTAGGGAAGAAAAAAGAAAAGGCTTAGTTCAACATATCCAAAGCAAACTTTTTTAGGTCACCATCGACCATGTTGTTGGCTAATTGTAAAGCATCACCCACTCTCCCGGCCTTGACATATGCGTTCATCAATGCTCTGTATACATGGACATCCGAATATTCAGCTACGAGACACTCTGCCTCCGACAACATCCCTTGCTCGCAACAACATGTAATCACGTTCCTGTAGTTTACAGGTTTTAAAATCGCCCCTTTTGCTTTCGCCTTGTAGAATGTCTCCACTCCCTCCTTGAAACACTCTCCCACCATTATATCAATAGTTTCTGAATCCACATTTTTCGAAACTGAAATTGAGACCAAACACTGGAAGTCCATCTTGAAACCATCTAGCATTCGGTTGAACAAGATCCAAGCTTCTGTTTTCTTACCGTACTTTAGTAGAAGTTTCAAGAGTTCCTTTCCTACATCCCCACATACATTAACGACCCCCTTGTCTCCTTTGTTGTTGCACATGAAAGACTCGTAGCACCGCTTAGCTTCCTCGCCTTTCCCTTGATTGAAAGAATGCTCAATGAACGTCAGCAACCTAACCAAAGGCGCTTCGGATTCGGATTCGGAGTTAGTGTTAGACTCAAACTCCTCCAGGAGCTGATTAGCCACGTGGTGATTCCCAAGTTTCAAGAAGCCGCTGACCACGTTGCTCCAAGCCAGCGGGGGAACTTTGTATTTCCTCACAAAACAAACGGCTTCATCCAACCTACCTTCCTCGTCCACTAACCCTTTGATGATCAAGTAAGGGCAAGACTGAGACGAAGTGGCACGCCAGAATACAATAGCGTCATCTAAGCGACCTAGGTCACAAAGGGCTTTAATGATGTAGAATGGGGAATGGCATGTGGACCCCATCTTCAACTCGTTGTAAAAGTAATGGAACAAATCAAAGGTGTCTCTATATCTTTTTGCCTCGCACATGGCGCGGATGATACCGTCACAGGTGTCAGCAGTTGGCTCACAGTAGTTTCTGCTATACGCCAAGCGTGCATACTCAGCCGCTGTGTCGAGGTCTCCCCTGTGGATTAGTTGACGCACTTTCAAGAGTAAGTTCATAGGACGGCGATCCGCGTTGGATTCTAAGTCCGACGACGGTGGGGCTGCTGAGCCGGAGAGAAGATCTCTCGGGATGGGGTAACGCTGCGAGACGGCGGAGGAGAAGCGGCGGTAAAACTGGCAGCGGAGAGACATGCGGGCGAAGATAGACATTTCCAAAAAAAATTTCTCTTTTTTTTATTTGACGTCAAGTAAACCATAAAAAAAAAACAAATGTGCAAACTTATAGAGAAAACCAAAACCCTAACGAAAATGTAACCAGAAGAGTGGGCTTACACTATCTTTTTCGCTGTAGTAGCCTCATGGGCTTTTTCATAAAAATTAATGACAAAATAAAAATAAAGAAAACCCTAATAAACCTACCTTACCTCCTATAAAATTCGCCAGCCAAGACATCAAAAATAAAAAAAAACATTTTAACCATGGCTCTACTCCGTCGCATCCTCCACTTGCGTCCACTATTTTCGAGTCGTCAGATAACATCCTCCACCGCCGTGCCATACCCATTGGGAAGAAGAGATCCTCAGTCTCTCCCATCAGCACTTACTAAGGAGATTGATCCCAATCAAGTCTTTATGGACAACCGTCCCATCTCCATAGGCTACAGAGTTGCGACAGCTCTACAGCTGTCGCAACTCGACAGAGCCGCTGAGATCTCTCGATACGTTTATTACGAACACAAAATGTTTATCGCCAACGTACTTGTCCCTTGCAACACCATCATCGATGCCATGTGCCGCGCTAAACGGTACGAGGATGCAATAGCTCTCTTCCATTACTTTTTCAACAAATCTAAAATTGTCCCCAACACCTTGTCTTTCAACCTCATCATCAAAGCACATTGTGATGAAGGCCGCGTCGACGACGCCCTTGAGCTCTACCGATACTTTACTCCTGATAGCGACAAGCACAGGCTACTGGCTCAAGGGCTGGTCGATTCCGGTAGAATCCACGAAGCCCTGTGTTTAGCAGCCGGCTTTGACTGCGTGGATTGGAAGGTCCACGACGTTCTAATTCGTGGCTTCTTGAACTTGGGGAACCATGACATGGCTCGTCAACTCTTTAGCCAAGTTAAGGATGCAGAGGGGATTGCATTTGTGAGCTCCACGTTCCTGGACTACTGGTTTGACCAAGGGGATGAAGAACAAGCTGCCTTATATTTGCCTAGTAAGGTTGAATATTTACTCTCTGGGAATAAGCTTTTACAGGTTTTGTTCAAGCATGGTCAGACAAGTTTTCGTTGGCAATATTTTAAAGGTATGTTACAACAAGGCCTCTTTGATTCAGAAACAATCAACATAGGGGTCAACGAGTATTTCAAACAAGGGAAGTTTGGCCAGGCACTAGAGACCTTTAAAAGGTCCCCTCTCTCTGGTTCCTACAGCAACATCATCGCCAGGTTATGCGAACGTGGGATGGTCTCGGAGGCAGAGTCTTTACTTGAGGAAATGACTTCACCTGACGTTGCCGATTTCAGAGCACTCATCAATGCATACATTAGGGCGGGGAGAGTGGATGATTCTCTCCGTATCTACACCAAAATGGTTGTTGCTTGCGTACGCAAAGTTGCAATTCATTATGCCCCTTGAAGAACCCTATTCTACTAAGGCTTTACTGCTCGTATATGATTCTCATATGCTTCTATCTTTACCAGTTAGTTACGAGCTATGATTGTTGTAATTTATAATAATACATTCAAACTATAGCATGAATAGTTAATGTTTTCAACTAAATTTATGTTTGAATTGATTGTATCTGTTACCATACCAAAGTGATCGTGGAACACATGTTTATCACTTTGAGTTTTTTCCCAAGTTGTAGCCCATCAAAGCAATGCAATCTTAATTAGGATGGTGAGTGATTATAAGAATAACATATTTCATTTGTGAATTTGGATTCAATGTATTATTGACATGGTTTGACATTCACAAACTTCTTTAATGTCAAATCTAAAAGAGTGTATATAAAATCGGTTTTGGTTTTATAAAAAATACAAATCATCTTTTATAAAACCAAAACTAATTTTATATACAAAAAACGTTTTAATAAATACACAAAACAAATAAAAACTTAATAAAAATTTCTAAATTAATTCGACTCAATTAAAAATTCTAAAATCAATCAACCAAAACTAATGCCGTTGATTAAGAATAAACTGTATTTTGATCCGTGCTCAAAACAATTACACAACAATCTACCACCAGATTTAGAATAAATTAGATTTTGATCAACCACCAGATTAAGAGGTTAACATAATTGGGCTAATAATATATATATATGGGCCGAGTATAATGAGTAAGACGAATCGGGTCGAGTTGACACAACAGAACTCCTTAATGGCCCAAGCTTGTTTCAAAGTTTTCACTGTTGCAACTACCGATAAATCGTTGGAGACGACGGGCCTGAACTGAATGACCAAAAGTCAGCTCTACGGTATTTTGCTTGAAAAGTATTTTGATCGATTTAATCTGATGACACAGGCGCTGATTGATCAAGACATCTGACTGATAAGCTCGTAGTAGTATCTGAGGAAGAGAGAGAGTTGACTGGTAAATTGCTGAATTGGCATTTGAGAATCCCCCACCGGTTTGTTTTACAAAGTGTAATCATTTGTTCTTTCCATATGGCATTGTAAGGGTTAAGATTCCAATCTTCACCGGGGAGGAGACGATTTGCGACACTGGATTGAGTGGTTGACCGAGTTCTTTGACGGGGAACAGTTGGTGGATGATGATGATAAACTGAATTTCACCCAAAGCTTCATGGGAGGTGAAGCTCGCGCGTTGTTTCTTCATAATAAGATGATGATGAGCGACTGTATTGTCGTGCTTGTCACTCCTTTGGATAAGACTAAATCGATGGAAAAATACGACTCAGATTTCTCATGTTTGCGTTTCAAAGAGTCAACAAGGGCCAAGGGGAGACTATAGACAGGACACGACTTCAGGCAGCTTCGGAGAATTGTTCACATGCAGTTGATCTTACATGTCCTGTAGTACCTTTAGAAATCCGTAGTGAGGTTGTGTTAGTTCATAACAATGAAGAATAATGTCTTACATATCCACTAGTCTGATGATTTTACATTCTACAAGTTTCAAGTTAACAAATTATATATCCAAGCTGTTCGGAAAAAGGCTGATGAGAGAACACCTAATACAACACAAGAGGAAGGAAGGGATGTCTCCTAAGTCTTTGCGTTTTAAATACAACTAGATTTTGACCCGCGCAACCGCGCGGGTGTTTGTTTTCGTTTATAGTTATATAAACATTTTTGTTTTCACTTGTAAATTGGTATATATTATAGTAAATAGAGTTTGATTAAATATTAGTGTAATTTAATTTGCAAAGATAATATAAACTTCGAAGAAATTTTTGCTAAAAACTAAACTTATAGCTTCATAAATTAATATTATAAAAAGTTTATTAAAAAGGAATTTTTTAAACAATTTCTTTTTTTTAAACAATACAATTTTAAAATTTTACATCGAAATAAATTTATCTAATATATATAACGTGTAAATTTTGTTAAGGTATATAAATATTACATATTAATAATCTGTGATTTTTGTTAATATATTCTGGATGCATTTAATTATTATTGACATATTTCCTTATAAATAATAGAAGATTCCTAAATTTATATCTATTGACATATTTTGCGTGACTAAGTTGGAAGGTGTGGGGTAATTTACCAAAACAAAATTGTTAAGCATATTATAAGATATAATAATGATAATATTATTAGAGAGTTAATGTAACATAACTTTCTAGTAATAGTCCATTTTTTTTAAAAATCACACATGAAATCAAGTTATGACTTCTGTTTTAATATATAAGATTCCGGACATCTTATATCGATGAGACAACACAAAGATGTTATGCTGCTTATGATAGCTTTCCTTCTTTTCTGAGTATTATCACTATAGATGACGTTGCTGTGGATTAAAGGAGGTATGCTAGTCTGAGAAAGCCAGAAAATGGGGCTTCTCAACTGATTTTGGCTACAAGGACCTTGTATTATTCTTTAGTTGTAAGACCTCTTATTATTTCTTATTGCAAAGGAAAAATATTTGAAAAAGCCTGGCTCCCAAAATATAGATTGACAAAAAAAAATCAATAGTAAAGAAAGATGATGTCCTCACCCAGTGAAACCTAGAAAGAAAACACGAACAAGGAGTGGCCAAGAAAAGATAGATTCTTCAGTTCTGCAAGAATATCATCAAACAAAACAAAAAGTAGAACATGAATAAGAAGAAGACAATGAATAGATCCTAAAGCGTGTGTGTAAACAACGAACACAAAAGGACTCATCCCTCCTGTTAAGATTCTTATCCATTAAGCCTAGTCAATTGTTCAGTCCTGTAGTCTAGGAGTGTATCTCTAACAATTGTAACAATCTCAGTGAATAATACAAGAGATTAATTCAGAACTTTCACATGCTACTTGTAAACTGCCATCGCTACAATTTTTTACTTATTTATTTATGAGCCTCAAATGTCAAAACATTTTAAAACAACCAACAGTAGAGTAGAGGTTTCTAGATGATAAACAAACCCCAAACTTGGTAAAAACATAAATTAAGAAACTTCCATCATATGTTTATTCCGAAAGTGCAACATGACCCTCAAATTCCATCTGGACCAACGCTCTGTATGTTTGACCCTTCTCTGAACCACCAAACTGATTGTCACCTTGACCAAACAGAATATTCTGCTACGTGACCACAAGGTAGAGGATCATCATAAAAAACAGGAGAGTCTTGTGCGTAACCACAAGGTAGAGGACCAAAAGAAAAAAGAGGAAGGCGGCCTCCATAACCACCAGCTCGAGCACCGTAACCACCACCGCCTCCAAATGCGTACTTCACCCTAATTCTTCGACCATGAAGGTACTGTGTTCCAGTAAACAAAAACCCCAATAAATGGACAACACACGAAGCAAAGAAGAATCACAAATAAGCATGCATGGTGTCTGAAAACAGTGATTTATTAAAGAAGAGTCAACAAAAAAAAAGAATGACTCATTGTTCAGCCATTCATTAAGAGATAGAGCATGTCACTGCCTAACGAAAGAATGGTTATTATTATTATTATTTCAGGCTAGATGATGATACCAATGTGACAACAAGAAAAAAGCCCTTAATTGTTTTAGAAATATGCATGCATTGTCCAGAGTTGAAAAAATCCAGACCAAGACAATGAATGAGAAAGGCAGATGACATCTTAAGGAATTAAAAGAGGGTGGAACATAACATTACCTGTCCATCCAAGTGCATCAAGGCATTAGTAGCCCCCTGGTTACAAGTAAATGTCACGAAAGCAAAACCCCTCGATCTACCAGTTTCACGGTCCACAACAACTTTGGCTGTCAAAATATATTGATGATAAAACAAAAAAAAAAACTACAAAGTTAGCTCCCCTCCGAGTAAAGAAAAAACAAAGAGGTCATAACAACTCCAAAAGCAAACTACCATCAACAACTTGTCCATATTTGCTAAAAGCTTCTCCCAAGCCAAACTCATCAGTGCTATAGGAGATACCTGAATCCAACATAGACAACCCTAAACCCTGAGACCAACAACCCAAGCAGAGAGAGAATAGAGAATAGTTTCGATAGAGTTAATAATAGTAGTCACCTCCAACAAAGAGTTTTACATAAGAAGAAGAAGACATGCAACGGATGCTCCTCTGAAGCATCCAGTTAGGGGCAGTGACATGAGTGCTAGCCTGCCTAAATGTCCTTCCAACTTTACTTAAGAAGAAAGCCAAAGCCATTGTTACTTATGTTGTGCGTATCTGGTGTATTCTCAAAGCAAAGACAAGTGATTCAAAAACAGAATACAGATATTGATGAAACTCATGAACAAGCGGAAGACCCATCAAGTAACAAAAATGCAGCCTTTCATTAAAAAAAAATAAACAACACGAAAGATACAAACTTTACACCGTGACCTGGTGACAAAGATGTTTTTTAACCCATAAATCACTCAATAGTCAGAAGAAGAATGAAAGGAAACATCATATTAGCACAATCTAAAAAAGAGAACTCTTAGGGTTGCAGGAAAGAATCATAATAATAGCAGAAACCCAGCAAACAGAGAACAATCTAATAAGTTTCGGATCAGGGAACGAAACATCAGCATGGACGAAACTAAACTCACTCACTCTCTAGGGTTTCACGGAGAACGATCTCTCAGGAAGCGTCTTTCAATTCTCGCCTCGCCGGGGCTTATCCAATCAGCTTCTTCGCTCATCCTTGTCCCTTCATTATTAATATTAACCGTTGATTTGGATTCTTTCGCTAAATCTAAACCAATGGTTAACCGAACCGGGTGGTTAAAATAAGTCTTCACCGTTGTCTTTTCAAAGAATGCCGGTTAATGATGTTATTGTCTGAATCCATAACGGTCTTCTTTTTGATTGGACGATACCAGTCGCAAAAAGAAACAAAACAAAATATCTTCCTCGTTTGTTCACATTTTACGTACCATGGTATATTCTTAGTCTAGACATACATACCAGAGAGCACGGTGTAGTCATATAACAAGAAATGTACGTTAGAAAAATAGTATGTAAAGTGAGACTGAAATAGTTTAGGTTATCCTGTCTTTATTATGCAATATGCGTGCGTATAGATATACGACCTAAAATTATATTTGAAACTGTTTCTTTTTCTTTTTGGGCTCTTTCTCTCATCGCATACATGTAAATAAGATTTAAGTAAGAAAATACTCAGGAGAAACACAGAGGTCTCTAGCTTTATATATATATATATATTTTTTATCGCCTCTAATTTGCTTAACATTATATATATCGTTCTTTCAGGGACCGAAACCTTAAAATGATCTTTATAAACCCATTTTCAAGATATCCATTTCATTATTTTCTTACGATCTACAAAGAAGAAGACGAATTGTGAAATATTTCTGTATATTTATTTAAAACTTTTGACAAAATAAATTATAATGCGAAGATGGCATAACCGTCTTTATGAGCACTCTCATACACATATATATTTATATCTTACCAAACTATCTTATATCGTCTAAGCTATTTTAAACTATCTTACCAAACGCCATCAATGTTGAAAGTAAACTTGATGTTAACTTGGGAAACAAGAAATAGTAGTCCTACTTGAATTAGGATTAGGAGAAAAAGGAAAGATGGTTTGTTAAGTGAGTTTAGGAATCTAGAAGATCTATATAAGTAAGATATCAACGTGTGATATCACTTAAGCTTTTGTGAGAGATCTTTGTGAGGACTTAAGTTTTTGAAGAGAGTTTTCTTAAGTTATTAATAAGAAGTTTGTGAGTTCTTATTGATCTCGTGTCCTAACAACTTGTGATTCAAACAATATTTGGTATCAGAGCCAAACATGAGTGAAATCACACCAGTAACAACACCTACAGCAGCGATGGCAATAAGGGGAAAAGAAGGAGGAATTGTCAACTGTCCAATGCTTACAAACACAAACTATACTGTCTGGGCAATTCGTATGAGAGTCTTACTTAGAGTCCAAGAAGTATGGGACGTAGTTGAGCAGGAAACAGAAGACAAGAAGAGAAATAATATTGCGATTTCCTTGATATTTGCATCAATACCAGAAACCCTAATTTTGCAAGTAGGGGATTTGGATAATGCAAATAAAGTATGGGAAGCCATCAAAACTCGACATATGGGAGCAGAAAGAGTAAAAGAGGCTAGACTTCAAACACTCACTGCAGAGTTTGATCAACTAAAGATGAAAGAGGGAGATACAATTGATGTTTTTGCAGGAAAGATGGCTGAGATTGCTGCAAAGTCATCTGCATTAGGAGAAGAGATTAATGAGTTAAAGATGATCAAAAAGTTTCTGCAGTCGTTGCCAAAGAAGAAGTTTATTCATATTGTGGCAACGATAGAACAATTTATGGATCTCAAAACTTCAAGCTTTGAGGACATAATTGGTAGGATGAAAGCATATGAAGATCGTGTACATGTTGATGATGAGGAAAGTCAAGAAAACCAAAGCAAACTCATGTATGCAAATACTGAAAATTCTCAAGCTGGTCGTGATTATAGAGATGACTATAGAAGCAACCGAGGACGAGGAGGAAGATCATACTACAGAGGAAGAGGACGTGGTGGTCGTTCATACAGAGACTTTGATATAACCAAAGTCCTCTGTTTTAGATGTGATAAACTCGGTCACTTTGCATCTGCGTGTCCTGATCGTCTTTTGAAACTACAAGAAGCATATGAAAACAAAGAAGAAGATACACAACAAGCAGATGGTCTACTAATGCACGAAATAGTATATCTCAACGAACAGAACATTAAGCCAAAGGAGTTTGAATCTGGAATGGATGGAGATCAGACATGGTATCTAGACAACGGAGCCAGCAACCATATGACTGGAAACAAGTCATATTTCAAGTCTCTAGATGAAACCATATCAGGGAAAGTCAGGTTTGGTGATGACTCAAGGATTGATATAAAAGGAAAGGGGTGTATTCTGTTTGTAAGTGCTGACAAGAAGAAAAAGATACTTGCAGATGTATACTATATCCCTGACCTAAAGAGCAATATAATAAGCCTAGGCCAAGCAACAGAATCTGGATGCAAGGTGAGAATGTCAGATGATACACTTACGCTTCATGATCAACACGGCAATCTCATTACAAGTGCAAAGAGATCAAGGAACCGTCTCTACAAGGTCCGTATGGAGATATCCAATACAGAGTGTCTTCAAACGATTGCACAAACCAGCTCATCAACATGGCATGCACGTCTTGGTCATATTGGAATGGAAGCTTTGAAAGTAATGACAAGAAAGGATTTAGTCTTAGGATTACCTAAGTTTGACGTTGAGAAAGAAACATGTGAGACATGTATGCGTGGAAAGCAAACAAGACAGCCCTTCCCGCAAGCAACTACATATAGAGCATCAGAAGTTCTTGAGTTGGTCCATGGAGATTTATGTGGTCCAATAACTCCAATGACTGCAGGCAAGAACAAATACATATTTGTTCTCATTGACGATCACTCTAGGTATATGTGGGCTATTCTATTGAAAGATAAGGGAGAAGCTTTTGATAAGTTCAAGAAATTCAAAGCATTGGTAGAATCAGAGACAAAATCTTCTATAAAGACGTTTAGAACTGACCGGGGAGGCGAGTTCACATCCATAGAATTCAATGAGTTCTGTGAGAAATCAGGAATACAAAGGCACTTGACAGCACCATACACGCCGCAGCAAAACGGAGTTGTAGAGAGACGTAACAGAACCTTGTTAGAGATGACTCGAAGCTTACTTAAACACATGAATATGCCACATTCACTTTGGGGAGAGGCTGTGAGACATGCGTGTTATATTATCAACAGAGTTTCAACACGCACTCTCAACCAACAAACACCATACGAGGTATTTAAAGCAAGAAAACCAAGTGTTAGACATTTAAAGGTGTTCGGATGCATTGGCTATGCGAAGACAGAGACTACTCACCTGAAGAAACTAGATGATAGATCAAGAACTTTAGTTCACTTGGGTACTGAACCTGGATCTAAAGCTTACAGGATGTTTGATCCTGTCAACAAAAGAATAGTGGTGAGTAGGGATGTTATATTTGATGAGAGTAAGACTTGGAAGTGGAGAAACATTACCGACGAAAGGGAACATGAACCAGGAAAGTTCAGACTTACTTTTGGTATGTCTGAGAATCAAGACGCAGGATCTGATATGGAAGAAGAAATTGATAATCAAGAGACACCTGCAACAGATATTCCAGTAACTACAATAGCTGCACAAGATGATCTCAGACGTTCCACAAGAGTCACTAAAACCCCAGGTTATCTAGATGACTACATATTGCTTGCAGAAGAAGAAGGGGAACGTTTACTTCTCTCATTGAATGAAGAACCATGGGACTTCACTGAGGCCATGGAAGAGCAAGTTTGGCGAGATGCGTGTGAGCAAGAGATAAGCTCAATAGTAAAGAATAATACTTGGGACTTGGTTGAGTTACCTAAAGGAGCCAAAGCTATAGGCTTGAAGTGGATATTCAAAATCAAGAGAAACTCAGATGGAAGCATCAACAAATATAAATCAAGATTAGTGGCTAAAGGATATATACAGAGACATGGTATTGATTTTGAAGAAGTATTTGCACCTGTGGCAAGAATTGAAACCATACGGTTTCTCATTGCATTAGCAGCTTCAAAAGGATGGGAGATTCATCATCTCGATGTTAAAACAGCCTTCTTACATGGTGATCTCAAGGAAACAGTATACGTAAGCCAGCCAGAAGGATTCAAAGTGAAGGGAAGTGAAGATAAAGTCTACAAATTGAAAAAGGCTTTGTATGGATTGAGACAAGCACCAAGGGCGTGGAACGAGAAACTAAATAAGGTATTGGAGAAGCTCATGTTCGTGAAGTGTAGTAAGGAACCATCCCTGTATCAGAAACGAATAAAAGACCAAACCTTATTGGTGGCAGTCTATGTCGATGATCTCCTAATAAGTGGCTCATGCGTCAAGATGATTGCAGAGTTCAAAAAGGAGATGTCTGATAATTTTGAGATGAGTGACCTAGGACTTCTAACCTATTATCTTGGCATTGAAGTCACTCAGCATAAAGAGGGAATCACTCTTAAGCAAGAGAGGTATGCAAGAAAGATACTACAAGATACCGGTATGGAAGAGTGTAATGCAGTCCACACACCTATGGACTTTGGTCTAAGTTTGTCAAAAGCCCCAGAAGAGAAGAATGTTGATGAAACGGAGTATAGAAGACATATCGGATGCTTACGGTATTTACTGCATACTAGGCCTGACCTCTCCTTTAGTGTTGGAGTGCTGTCGAGATATATGCAGGATCCAAAATTATCTCATGCTGCAGCACTAAAGCAAGTTCTGCGCTATTTGAAGGGAACGATGTCACTTGGTCTTAACTTCGAGAGAGCTAATAAAACAGTACTCATGGGATACAGTGACTCAAGTCACAACATTGATAACGACGATGGAAGAAGTACTACTGGACACATTTTCTACTTGAATAACAGTCCAATATCTTGGTGTTCAACAAAGCAAGAAACAGTGGCTCTATCTTCCTGTGAAGCTGAGTTCATGGCTGCTACAGAAGCTGCGAAACAAGCCATATGGCTCCAGGAATTACTTGAAGAAATCACTCCAGAAGCCGTTCAGAAGGTGGTGATTCATATTGACAATAAATCAGCAATTGCCCTAACTAAGAACCCTGTGTTTCATGGACGGAGCAAGCACATACACAAGCGTTATCACTTCATAAGAGAGTGTGTTGAGGCTGAGCTAGTGGACGTACAACACATACCAGGAACAGAGCAAAGAGCGGATATCTTGACTAAGGCGTTAGGACGAATCAAGTTCAAAGAAATGAGAGAGCTTGTTGGGATGCAAGACTTAGTTAACTTCAAGTTTAAGGGGGAGAATGTTGAAAGTAAACTTGATGTTAACTTGGGAAACAAGAAATAGTAGTCCTACTTGAATTAGGATTAGGAGAAAAAGGAAAGATGGTTTGTTAAGTGAGTTTAGGAATCTAGAAGATCTATATAAGTAAGATATCAACGTGTGATATCACTTAAGCTTTTGTGAGAGATCTTTGTGAGGACTTAAGTTTTTGAAGAGAGTTTTCTTAAGTTATTAATAAGAAGTTTGTGAGTTCTTATTGATCTCGTGTCCTAACAACTTGTGATTCAAACAATAATCAATTCCTCTCTAGCTATTTTCATATCGTTCTGTTAGGGATTTGCTTAAATAGAGTATATCGTTCTGTTAGGGATTTGCCCGTTCATCCAGTTTCTGTCTTTTTTTTCTATTTTCTCCTTTAGCGAACAGTTGTTTCTTTTCTTTCCTTTCCTTATTTACATTTTTTGAAAAATTATACAGACATTTTTTTTTCCGT